TATATATATATATATATATATATATATATATATATATATATATATATATATATATATATATATATATATATATATATATATATATATATATATATATATATATATATTCATTCATTCATTTTCTTGTCGGCTTAGTCCCTTTATTAATCTGGGGTCACCACAGCGGAATGAACCGCCAACTTATCCACATTATTTAATAAATATAATTAAACAGTTTATATACAGCATAAAATGAATATTATATTATATATTTAAAATATTATTAGCATATTAATTACATAAAATTAACATCTGCACTGGACAAAATATTTAGCGCAGCCTTGTGTGCTTAATTTATACAAGAAAAAATATGAATCCTAAAACATTTAATAAATGTTCCAGAACGCAAAAATGTAACTTTCTTAAACATCAACATTGTTACAACACCATTTTTCAAAATTAAATTAATAAGCAGACTGATTATATTTGTTGAAAAGTAACGCTTCAATTAATGATCAGCCAGATAAAAACTTATAGTTTCAAGCAGAAAATAACTTTTTAGAATTAGAAGGTTCTATCTGCATTTTTACTCCAATTCACAAATTGAAGATAATTTTGATAATTTGCGTTTAGAGTCCATTTAAAGTCCCTGTCATGTTACTGTATAAAAGAGAACTGTTACACACATATTGTTTGGTATATGGAATGCAAAAACTTTGAAGCTCAATATCTCGAAATCATTTAGAACACAGATAGAACCTTTCGATTCCAAGGTGATGATTTGTCCTATTTTGACTGCTATGATAAATTATGAAAAAATTGCATCGAAAAAGGCTTTAAAACCAAGCGGAATCCTGTTTTGGCTGTTGCCTCAGCGTGACTGAGGAAAGTGGAATGTGTGGGCCAGTTTGCTATTTAAATGGATGATATTTAAATTACAATAGTCTACAGTTTTTAATTTAAAACTTTAAAAGATTCAAATTTTTTTTAATGATATATGATTTGATGAATATATGATGTATATTATGATGTAAATGATAATTAGTGTAAATTTTTATGTTTTTAGTACATCAAAACTGTGGTTATGATGACCATTCAACAAGCTAATCCAGCAAAAAAATAGTGCTTAAAATGTCACTAAAATGTAACCTATTTAAACCTCATAATTAAATAGAAAATAGTCCACTTTTTAAGAAAAAAAAACCTTTCACCAGGCTGGCGGGCCTGCAGATATTCGTAAACTGTCTAAAACATTTTAGCCACTTTTGACCACTTTTTTCTTCTTCTTTGCTTTAGCAATATGCATGCCTGTGTGATCGAATGTGAAACTTTTTTACTTCACTAACCAGAAAGTATTTTGACTTTGTTGCCTTTGGTGCTTAAACATGAAAATATGGAGAGTGTCACAAATTAAAAATGCTTATTTCTCCATGAAACATTTGGGATAATCTAAATGAAATTCAACAAAATGTAAAATACTGTTGTAATGATTTTGGGATATTTTAATATAAATATTTTACATATTGTGCCTTTAATGTAACAAAACAGCAAATGAGAGAATCACCGAATAACATTCCCTGCTCTTCAATGAATAAATATCATAAATGTAATTTAAATCAGTGTTTACTTAATTGAAACCTGTAAAGAAAATATGGGATGAGATTTGACTCACTTTCTGAATAGTAAAATATTATCTATGTGTTTTTCATTTATTTCATTTCTGTATTTCATTTAGATTATTTCTATTAGAATTATCATACCATTTTTTATTTTATTTTTTAATAATGTTACTTTTATTGACTGTTTTAACTTAGTGTTGTTTGTTGACAGTAAAACTTCTTTGAAGAGGTCAAGGCCAGGGTCATTTCAGGGTCATTTAACATGCTGACATGGGTCTCCTCACAAAGTTTTGCTTAGAGCTCCTAGAATTCTAAGATCAGCTCTGAATATAACAAGGTTACAAAAACTGTAATAAGCAAACAAAGTAAAAATATATCATTTAGTTAGATACAATTCATCAAGTTGTCATTTGATGTCATGACTGAATAAAAAGCTGTCCCCCGAGGCCTGTCCCTGAATTCCATGTATGTGTAACAGTCATGGTTGGACATGCCAGAGCTGCAAGTACTTCAACATATGGTCATGTATTATGTACTGGTATATAGACATGTTTTGTTAGCGAGTCATTGTAAGAGTGCAGCCATGTAATGGGATGAGGGGTCCCTGCCATTGTGTCTTTGTGGCCTAATTTTATAACTGATCCACCTTCACCCCCTCTAAATCAGATTCAAATCTTTAATAACTGTGCATTCATATTGCATTTTTAACTTGTTTGCACACATTTATAGTGAAAGAACTCTTATAACAACACTACTCACATCTTTTTTTCATGGACCCTAACTGTAATGGTAAAGATAGATATAAAAATCTGTATAAAAGTCCACAATGCAGCTATAATGACAATGGCACAAAAATAAATAAATAAATAAATAAATAAATAAATAAATAAATAGGGAAGGGACTGTGTTTTCAAAGCTATTAGGCTAACGGTTAGCAATTTGGCAGATCACCTACTGAACCTTTAAATAAGCACAATAAAAAAATTAATTGATACATAATAATAAAAAAAGAAAAGCAGAAAATATAACAAGAATAACAAATGAAGTGCAATAAAAACATTATTACTAATACTAAACTGCTTTACACTTGATGTTATTTTACAGGTGTGCATTCTTCTTTTATTGCGGGATGTTAGTGCTAGTGTTTGGCTTGATTTATGAACAATGAGTCATCCATGAAAGTCCAGTTTCCTTGTGTATCATCATTACTGATTTACTAACAAAGAGAGGTTTTACAACTTAATGATTTTTATACTGTATATTATATCCCTCTACCCCCAAATCCAGTCATCACAGGAAATATTCTGCATTTTAACATTTTCCAAATAATTCATTCTGTGCGATTTAAGAGCCGTTTTCCTTGTGGGAACAAATAAATGTCCCCACAAAGGTCAAAATTTACAAGTATTGCAATACTTGTGAACACACACACACACAGGTTATATTAATTTTGGGGACTTCATACATTTCTTCATACACTACTGTCCAGACCGTATTTTTTTTCTAAACTTAACCAAACCCCTTAACCAACTCTTCACAGAAAACCTGTTTGCATTTTACACTTATAGATAAAGATTATGTAATATATTTAAAAAGTTTTCTCTAGTTTTCAAAATGGGCTAGTTTTCAAAATGATAGAAATGTCTGGTTATACTATCCTTGTGGGGACGTTTGCTCACCACAATGTAGAAGAACTCACAAACACACACAAAGACAAGGTGTGTGTCAGTCCATGTAAATGTTTAGTGATTGTGTATGTCTGGTGGGGAATCAAGCTCATGAGCTATTCTCTATATGACTTCACAAAATCTGCTTATTTATCAGCTTTGGACTATGTAAATTTGATTAACAGAAATAAATTTCTAGTTGGTTAAACAGAAATAAACTAATAACATTAATGACAGTGCTAAATTAAATATCACAGTAATATTTATAAGAGTTCTTGTTTGGCCATTGAAGCGGGGCTTGTTGTTCAATGTAGAGGATGTGTCACATATTCAAATACCAGTGTGATTACAGGGATCTTGAGGGATTTTGAGGGCTTTGCGAAGTGAATATGTGTATTCTTCTTTGTTTTGGTTAAACGTTTGCAAAGAGCTTATGGAATATATTGTAAAAAAAGAAAAAAAAAGAAAAAAGAAAACCTGTCTGTGGCATTTAGAAATTCCAGTCTGTCTGTTGCTCTTTAACATGATTTCTACTTCTGGAGGAAATATATATTCTTCTTTTTTATCCAAAAAGCTTATGTAATTTCATTCTCATTGTGTTTTCCTTTTCATTTATTCTTTCTTTGAGTTTCTTCGGTCAAACAAAACAATACATCTTAAAGATGAAAACTAACTATCCAAAACTGAAAACTAACACAGACTTCCATGAAAACAAAGGTTTCCAGCTTTCTTTAAAATATCTTCTTTTGTGTTTGACAGAAAAAACTTTTAGTAGTTTATAACTACTTTAGGGTGAGTTATTCTTTCATTTTGGTTAAACTTGGTTGTCTTTAATTTGCTCCATATAGATAAATAAACAAAAAATAAAGGGTGTAACTGATGACAGAACTTTAATTTGGGGGTAAACTATGCCTTTTTGTGGAAAACTCACTCAATTCATTCAAATGAAGGCTTTTCATTTTTTTTTCTTTTGTCACGACAGATGTCAATTCGATCAAAAACTCATAAACACATCACTTGTGCTACACAGAATAAAGAATGTCAAGTTGACATATTTGTCAAGAATGTCATATTCAAGTTAATTCATTTTTAACCAGACAAATATTTTACTACAGCTAATTCTCAAATAAACTATATACAATTTATTAAGCTGTATTAGTTGCTAAATTACAATCTACAAACATATCTATTAGACCAACTAAATATTTTTTAACCTAATATAAATTGATAATATTATATACCAGAAGACGTTTTGTTATAAAAGGATACATTTAATGTGAAATACCAATTACACTATTTTGTTATTGGCTCAGATTTAACGTTAATTTGAAATGTAGCATTGCCCTCTAGTGGTGTTGATGTGCTCTGACAATGTGAAACGGAAATTTTTTGAGAGTTCGAAACTCCCTTCCTTTGTTTTTGTTGTCTAAATATTCTGATCATTTTGATGATTTGTTTGTTAAAATATCTATTTATCAGAAATATGTATTAGCTCCAGATTTTAAATTAATTAATAATAATTAATTTAGAAAATAAAGTTTGCTTTATGAAATATTTAGGCTATTTTGAAAATAGGTTTCATTCTAAAAATTGTATTTTTAAAAAGTGTAATTTTAAAAATTGAGGAGGACTGTTGTGTGCAATTAAATATGCATCAATTCTTTCTTTATTCTTTCTTTATTGTCTAAATATAAAATAGAAAAAAAAATTGTTCAGACACCATATACACAGACAATTATGAAATATCTTTTTATTAAACAACATGTTACAAAGTTTCTTTCTTTCATTCTTATTTTCACTTGGCACATACTGTATGATGACTCACATTAAAAAAAAAACACACAGACACACTGGTGCAGTCATAACGACATTCTTACACACGCGCACACACACACACACACACACACACACACACACACACACACACACACACACACACACACACACACACACACACACATACACACACACACACACACACACTCACACACACACACACACACACACACACACACACACACACACACACACACACACAAACACAAACACACACATAACGCACACGCACTGTAGAGTCCCTGTAGAAATCTCAGCGAGGCAATCTAGGTCACTGGTAACCTGTAGGGAAGAGAAAAGAAAGAAGTAAAAGATTAAACAGAGGTACAGTGATTAATTTTATTTAGTTAAACAGCAATTACGCAGCAATTGATGTTTGATTGAATTTGCTTTGAGGCTATAACTCTTTCCGTTTTTTTCCACATCTTACAGTTGCAACTTTTCATACCAAAAACTGTCAATCACATGACTCCACAAGACAACAATTAAGGCATAGTTCACCCAAAACTGAAAATTCTGTCATCATTTACTCACCCTTCACTTGTTTCAACTCTTCTGTTAAACAAAACCATTGCCTTGTTTGTTTTTCCTTCTACTAAAATCAATGCTTACAGGTTTTCAGCTTTCTTCAAAATATGTGTTCTAGTGTTCAACAGAATAAAAGAAAAAGGAGCTATTTGAGGCAGAGACGTGCTGAGTGTTTTTTAATTTGGGTGAACTATCCCATTAACAATTCTAGGAATTTTACATGAAATACCCGTGATTTAGTTAGCTGCCGGCTAATTTATTTTATTGTATACACTCCAACAATTGTAAGCTCTTCTTATACACGATTTAGTTTCCGCATACAACTTTACAAGCATTGACTGATTCTTTTATTCACTAAAAGCGATGTGCTTACCAGTTGTAGTGATGTTTTAACTCTGGAACCAGCTGATGAAGTACGCGCAGACGCCCTGCAGGCTCTTCCAGCAGTATTCCTCAGCCATCTTGACTGATTGACTCTCCTCCGCCACGGTGGGTCTCACTGTGATGGCCTTTACAGGTTTTCGAGGTGAAGCAGGTTTGGAAGCCCCAGTCTTGGCTGGTTTAGAAGCAGCTTTAGCCGGCTGTTGGGGTTTAAGCTGCTGCTTGGTGGGAGGTTTGGTAGGGGGGACGCTGGACTTAACCTGCTGCTGGTGCTTTTGCTGGTTCTGAGAAGCCTGAGTAGGTTTTGGGACCGAGTTTTTAGGCCAAGAATTGTGGAACACCATTTGGACCTCATCGGAAGCAGAGCGGCACATCTGTGGCTTGTAAACCCTCGACCCCTGGCAGGCGTTGTGGAGCTTCCTCAAGTCCCACATGATCTGAGTGAAGTAGTGGCGAGGGTTGTTGTTATATGACTTGCAGAGGTTGGGTTTGCCCAGGAAATCACACCAGTACGACTTGCCCTTGCTCTTGCAGGAGACACGCAGCTTAGTGGTGTTGGTCTGGCTGGAGATCACCATAGTGCAGGTGTCTTTGGCTTTGGTGTTGAAGCGAATAGGCTCATCCCAGAGGTTTGCTTTCGGCTGTGGCTGGGGCCGGCTGTGTTGGGTGATTTCGATGTGGTTACTGCTGTTCTGTGCGTCTGTGGCCCAGATGAAGCAGACCAAAAGGAAAGCACAGCTGCATATGGATCTCATGGCGAAGGTGTAATGGACTGAGGAGGTGTTGGAGGTGCAGTCTGGCTTTATAAATACTAGCCCCACAAAGGGGTCATTGAGTAAGGTACACATCCCAGACCGGGGGGCCTCTGGTCTCCAGTCTGGAGCTCCTGAATGAACTAATTGTAGGAATGTTTAGAGAAGTGTGTGTTTGTGTGAGCAATTTACTTTAGATTGAGTCAGTATGTATGTGATTTAAAGAGAAAAAAATGGGTGTAAAAAATAAAAGAGTAGTTTAGGTTTGGCTAAAACTTGATCTCATGAGAAAATACACGTACATCTAAAGTAGTGTAACTGGCATTTTATTATCCTCATCCATCTGCAATGTTTTGAATTTATTGAGTAACTGAATATGCAAGGTACTCTGAAAGACTAAACAAATCAGGAGGAATAAAAAGATCAGGCAGTTTCTTAATTGGGAAATGGCGGTACCAATTTTTATAATAATAACAATTATAATTTAATGTTAACTCAGAGCATTACAAAGTAGACTTAAATATAAAAGGTGTAAATATGACTGGAAAAGACCTGAGAGAGTTTTTTTTCAGTTTCTAAGGGTTAGTCTAAGTTAGTATTCATGGCCCAAGTGTATCCATGAGAAAATCTAGACATGGTGAATTCCAATTAAATAACTTGAACCTATACAAGTCCATAACTGTACGTCTAAAGCATAAGCAAAATATGTAGAAACACAAATAAGTGTTCATATATATTATGATAAAATTCACCATAACATAAGACCTGAAACAGTTCTGAATTGTGATGAGATTATGCTGGCATTTGTGTGTTTAGTGTGGTTGGTTTTCTCTTCTGAGTGTTTGTTGATGGCTTGAGGGAGGAAAATGCGTGTGGTTACACTGGTGGAACCTTCATGGTCATATTGGTCATCATAGTCTAACATAAAGTGGGCTATTGACTACTGATGTGAAAGACGTTTTAGAGGAGGGACAAGGAAAATAATTCACCTGGAACCCATTTATCTTTTGTCAGCTTTGCTTTCGACCAGTGTGGTTGGCATGTAATGTTTACATTAATGTTGTTTATGGGGAGTCAGGGGAAATTTTCTGTTTTTAAACAAAGATAGTTGATGAACATGGCTGTCTGCTTTCACAGTTTTTTTTACATCTTACTTTGCTTTATTTCTTTAGAGAAGACTTGCATTTGCAGGCCCATTAGATTATATAATATTTTTATCATACAAATACTACAGGAACATTACTTTAGATCACCAGGACACAAGATATACATCTGTTTAATAAAGAATCATTAACAATCAAAATTGCTGTTTAAAATATATGATACAGGTTTCATTGGCATTTATAAATTGAAATACATCTGTTTTTGTGTGTTATACAGCAATAAATGGACACCTATCTAAATTATAGGTAATATATTTACGTAACATATATGTACATATTTGTAATTCTAAGTGTTGAGAAAAAATCCTAATTTTTGCATTATTTTAACATGTATAACATATTTTAGACGTGTAAATTCCAAATATAAACTAGTATGCCACCTACAGTATGTAATTTGCATATATTTCTATATATATATATATATATATATATATATATATATATATATATATATATATATATATATATATATATATATATATATATATATAAGATTTCTGTTTGGTATCTGTGTTTCCATCATGACATTGGTCTGCTGTGATTGGGCTTTCTTGCATACAGTAATGTCAAAAATGAAAGCATTGTCTGTAACAGTGGTACATGGTACAGATAAACCATTAATATGGAAAAAGGGTGAAATCTATAGATAATGTAGTGCAGTTGGGTCATCTTCTGTCATAACTGATGTCATTCAATCTATCCTGAAACTTTCATCATCTAAATATTTAACATTGTACATCAGTTTCCATGAAGTTATGCATCAAGAGTAACGCAACAGTTCCTTTTAGTTTAATGAACACAGTATCTTTGACTTATGCATACTGTATCCAAACATTTAAAAGAAAAAAAGAGTTAAGAGTTTTGCAAAAATGTGCAATTTTGTCAATAGTTGTGAATTGTGTGTTTAGAGTTTTGAAAACTGACACCAGGGTTCTGATATTTGTGTCAAAATGATTGTGAAAAACTGTAGCTTCAGCAAAGATTAGCTATAAAAAAAATTAGCCATGGAAATAAAAACACGGTAATAAAAGTAAGAGTTGAAGCATATATGTTTTTTGCTTTTTTGTGTTTGTTTTCATGGATGTGTGGCACTCACAAACACTGTATCATATTATACTCTCATATTGTACAGAACATATTGACTATGTTTGTGTGTGTGTGTGTGTGTGTGTGTGTGTTTCCATTCTACACATCAGCTTATTTTTCCCACCAAAATGACAATAGACATGACTTTAAATAAAAATGAAAGTGCTGGGTTATCACATGTGTGCGCTAATCTAAATATTTACAATAATTTCATGATTTTAAAATCTTTTGTTTATTTATTTATTCTTTTATTTTATTTTAAATATGTTTTATTTTATGTTCACATTACTACTTAAAAAGCTAACAACTAATTAATAGTTAATAACATTATTAAAAGATAGCACAATATTATTTATGATTTGTTTACAAGATTATTTATGACATTTGCATTTTTATATAATATTCAGAGTATGTTGCATTTATTATGTTTGTGAAAATGCTTGTTTTGTTTTTATATTGCTGAAGTACCTTACAAGTAGCCTACATTACAAAAACATGTAGTTTACTTAAGAACACATGTAAAAAAATTATGTACTTATAAAGACAGCTATTTAGATATAAAAAAATAATGACTAAAAACATAACATACAAACAAACAAATGTATGCATACAAACAAAACAGAACAAATTAAATTCCTTCTAATTTGTCAAGAACAACTGATGATGTACATAAGAGGAAATACACAAAAATGTCTGCATGATAATCCTTTTGGTTAGTCATTTGCATTTGATTTTTTTTTTTTCAAAGATTCCATGAATTACTGTACATTTTAGTGTGCCTTTTCAATTTTTGGTTTACGAATGTTATCCTTGCTAGACTGTACACAATAAATATGTAAAGCCTTCTTTTACAGTTTTGTATAGACTATTTTAAGGAATGTAATTAAACAAAAACAATGGTCGCAAAGTATTTCCTGTTTTACATATTTTTAATTTCTATAGCTTCCAAGAATCCAAAAAGAGTCACATATTGATAAATAATGTTATGACAGCTGTTTTAACATTAAGTTATGACTGAATTGCCCCTTGTTACAGTTATGAAATAGTTTGATAACAATCAGGGAATGTTCATGGGTCAATGATATGACCACATTTAAACTATTATTACTAATTTGATAACAAATGACAATATGTGAAGCGTCAGAAAGCAAGAAAATAAACAACTTAGCTTTAGGAGGACATTTTTACAGCTTTCTTGTTAGAAGAATAATCTTTTAAGGGGGATCAAATTTTCCCCCACTCCGTCACTTCCGCACTCAGTGTACCTGTAACCATAGTGACGAAACGGAAGATGATATCCCCTAATAGAAGTATAATAGAGTGTGTTTGAAAAGCTGCTAGTTTAGGTTTCTGTAGAAAACATTCTGAAGCGATGGATTCAGTACTTCTACACGAAGAAGCTGAAGGATACATTCAAAGCCTGGAAAAGATGTCATTGCGCGATATCGGAAGCCCGAGGTAAATTACGAGAATATAACATTATAAGTCAAGGATCGGTAAAATAAGAACACGTAATCTAATCCAAAACTAGTATAGCCATGCCATCGTTGTCATGCATAGCCAATGTTGTGTGTGTGTGTTTATTTATTTATTTATTTTTGTAAAGATGGTTTCGCCAGCATGAATTTATTGAGAAGCTGAATATGCAAGCTATTCTGAACGCCAGCGCCAATCAGGAGGAATTCATTAAAGACCTTTTCGTTTCTCTCGGAAAGGTAAATTAAATATGATTTTGTTTTGTCGGTCAGTTTCTATACAGGGAATATCATGATATTTTCATGATAGCAGTAATTGTATGTAAACTTTAATGGGATTATAATGTTGTTACTCACTTGATAGAGAGAAATTGTACTCAGGTATAACGTTACTAATATTTATGACCAAAATGTATTGTGGAGAAAAAAAATATGCTTGCCTTGTTCATACTTTTAATACAAGTCCTGCAAACAAAGGTTAGATTTATCTTATGGTTAAAATATTGTACATTATTAATTAATTAATTAATTAATTTATTTATTTATTTATTAAAAACTAAGAGACCACAATCCAGTTTTTCTGGATTTATTATCGGTTTGAGTTAGATTTTATTATTTGATGTAGTTTATAGAAGTCTGAGAAAATGTATTCCTTTTTTCAAATAAAATATTGTATTTCAAATAATTATTAATAATATTGTTCATTTAATTCTTTCAGAAAATGTTTACATTTGTTGTGATAGAAAATCTGGATTATTCCACCAATTGATTTGTAAAGGTAAATTAAATTAAATTTTTTGTTGTTGTTGTTGTTGGTCAGTTTCGATACAGGGAAACTGGCGTGATCATTTTCATGATAATAATAATAATTTAATGTAATCTTGAAGTATAATGTTAACGCTACTTACTTGATTCAGAGGAATTGTACTCAGAGATTAGGTATACTAATATTTATGACCAAATGTATGGGGGAGAAAAAAAATTGTTATGTTTGTCATGTTCTTACTTTTAATACATGTACTGCAATTAAAGATTACATTTATTTAGATTTTTTGGTATTTTCTTTTTTACATTATTTAATTATTAAAAAATAGACAACTTCTCAGTTTTTTACTGGATTTTGTAGTTTTCAGTAGGGCTAGACAGTATCTGTGGACATTTTTGCTATTTTTTAGCTGAATTTTGTAAAAAATGTGTGGATTTTTGCGGAATGATTTTAGGAGTATTGTAACTACAAGCTTAATATATTAAAAAATTATCTGTTTTTAACTTTGATTTAATGTTTACAAGACAAATCTAATTAGATCCACTTATTTGGTCAACAAAGCAAGTCTCTCATATTATAGATCTACTAAAAGACAGAAAATATTACTTTGCAAAGTGTATTGTAAATAAATCATATAAACATTTTCATAGTAGTCAGTACTGAAAATTAATTTAAAAACTGAATAAATATAAATTTGAACACATTTACACAAGTAAATAAATAGACTCAATGATGGATGCATTCGCAGATTCATTGTGAACCTAGTTATCAGTTTGAGTAAGATGTTAATATTTGATGTAATTCATAAAAGTCTGAGAACATTTATTTCTAATTTCAAATAAAATATTGTCTTTCAGAGAATTATTATTAATATTATTTATTCATTCAGAAAAAGTTTTCATTTGTTGTGATTGAAAATCTGGATTATCTGGATTATTCCACCAACTCTTCTGAAGTTAAAATTGATAATGTTTCGTGTAAAAATGAAAATGTTTGATCACCAGATCATCAGTCACCTTTCACAGTAGCACATCTTTCCACATTTCTCACCTGTATGTTTTTAAAAAATAAGAAACAGAAATGACAAAGTGAAGTGAGTTAAAGCTGCTGTTGTTTTTGACCTTTTTCCAGATTCCCACACTGGTACATGCCATGATACTTACCGAAGTATGGAAACATAAAGTGTTTCCTAAAATTTGCAAACTCCAGGACTTTAACCCAAAGAGCACATTTCTTCTGTACATGGTGGTGAGCAGACTCAGCTTATAAATTTCCAAAGCATACCAAGCTCTGATTTAGAAAAATAGAAATCATTCAGGCTCCTTGGGTCATTACATTTTCTCCTAATTTCAGATTCATCATGAAGCTACCATTATAAACCTGCTGGAGACGATTATGTACCACAAAGTAAGCAACGACACACAGGTTTTTATATGTATGGGAATGTGCATTTTATTAGATCATGGTATGTGATTTTTGCACATGCAGGAGTCCAGTGAAGCTGCTGGTGATTGTGTTCTTGACTTAGTGGATTACTGTCATCGCAAACTCACACTGCTAGTGGGACGCTCTGTATCTGGAGAAATTTCAACTCAGGACAGAATCACACACACACAGATTTCAGGCACGGCATCTGTACAGGTAAACAACACTTTATTGATGTGTTTTGATTTTTCTAATCTCATTGAATAGGAATGCTTATTAAAAGTTAAAACTTACTCCAGTCTTTTACATTTACTTTTACTCATTTTTTTCAAAACGAGCATCTAGCTATTTGAGAATCACAACAATTTAAGGGTGTGCAATATTTTTTGTCTAAAATACTATTGTAGTTGTTGGTTTAACAATGTTTGAGCTAACATTAATGATTATTGTGTGTCAAAAAAAAAAAAAACACGCACACACATTTAGAGTCCAAAAACATTCACTTCATCCTGAAGTGTTGAAGCCTACAAGAATGCAGTTAGACTTCCCTTTAAACCTCAAGTTATAAATGCAAAAATATTACTGTATGGTTTTATATAATATGATTTAGATAAATAATCGATTTAGATTGCAACTGTGATAAGAACATTTATAAAAAAAAGTTATTACTGACTGAGTTCAGTTTTAGACACAAGATTGTCGTTTTTTTTCTATTTTGCTTACTGTTTTGCTGTTTAGCATTCGTTTACTTCCTGAATTAATCTGTGTCCAATGATTTAATGGTCTATTCATCAATTAAATTGCTTTGTTTTTAAACTATACTTAAAATCAGATTTTACAGTGTCTATTTTTTGAGGGCACATTGCTAGTTTTAAGGTGAATGATGAGTCTGTGCAAGTTAATCCACTCAAAAAATTATTTTCTGATGAGGTCAGTTTGAAGGCTTGGCAAAATGTGTTTAGCCATGCCCCCTTTATTTGCTGCGAGCTTTGGAAAGCATTTGCCCACAGCAAATGGAACTTAAACTCATTACCATAATTGTAATTTACATTAGATTTACCAGAACCTTTTTACTTTCTGTTGCAGGATCTGCAAAAGCAAAGTGATATGTTAGAGTTTGAAATCTCTATCAAGGCTCTGTCAGTCCTGTGCTACATTACTGATCACGTTGAGAGGTATCACAGCAACTGGTTATTTAAAGAGACACACAAAAATACAATCCCATGTAAAACAGTCTAAATTCATATGCTGCCTTTTAATCAGCACTGAAATCTCCTCTTTTATTGTAGTTTGAGTTTGAGTGTGCTCTCGCGGATGCTGTGCACTCATAATATGCCATGTGTGCTGGTTCAGCTGGTGGAAAATTGCCCCTGGAAAAGAGGTTAGATGTATTTAAAGCAGATATTTTTTTAAAGCAGTTTTTTTTCTATTTCATCCAGAAACCTGAATAAAAGTTTTTTCAGCAGTGCTGGTTGTGGAAGTATTTTTCACATTCATTTTCTCATAGGTATTTTTCTTGCTTAATATGTAATAAACCATGAACCACTCAAACCAGCTGTAATGTGAATCATTATAACTTAGAAAATAGATACAGTATATGAAGATCAGATATATGAACAAGATTGTGTTAATCTACTCAACAACACATTTAAATATAGAATAAATTTAAAATTTAAAATGAATTAATTAAATATAAATTTATTAAAATTAAATATAAAATAAGTAAATAATTTATTTAAAGATGTAGGTTGTATTCATAAAAACTGTGATTCAGGTTTATTACATGCATTTATAGGTCCCGTGCACTGCTTTGAAATATGCATTTTTAGTCGATGTTTGACATAATCTCAACTGAAACACGGAGAGAGGGAAGGACATAGCGTAGCTCTTCTCCTTTTTAAAAAACAGCCAATGGCGTTTTGTTGTTTTACCGCTCTGCCAATGAGAGCTCAAGTACATCAAATGAGAAGCCAATAAAAAGTTGAAGGGGCCATTTGATTGGTTATTGGTTATTTGATGAGAAACTGAATTATTTGGTGACGTGAATAAAACCGTTGATCCATTTAGGTGGAAGTGACAAACCATAAGTTTTACATGTTTTTTATCAGTTTTATATCTTGTAAATGCAAATTTTGTCACTGTTTTGGAGCACACTTATAGATATCCTTAAAACATACAATACTGATACCAACATCCAAAAAACGTTATTTTAATTTCATGGAACCGTTAAAAGGTGTTTTACTACATATTACAAAAACACTTTAGTTTGGGAAGCATAAAAGAGTTTGCTAAAAATCAAATATCATTTAATGCATTGTGTTGCCTTCTTGAACAGTAGTAAATGTTTTCATCTTTTTTTAGTTGTCATTTGTTTAAAAATTGTAATCTCAAAATCATATAGTCAACTATGTAAAAGCATACATAGTTGTAGGCTTGAAGTACAGTCTACTTAAAGGCCTATGAAAGGTTTGAAATGTGCATTTTTATATTTAATGTTTGACAGTATTAACTAAAACATGAATACAGGGTGGGACATAGAGTAGCTCCTCCCCTTTTAAATCAGCTCTGCCAGTGAGAGTGGTTGAGCTTAAGTGCATCAAATGAAAAGCAGTCACAAACTTCAAACTTTGGATGTTTAAATCTTCTAAATGTCTTTGTCACTGTTTTGGAGCACACAAGCTTGACTAAAACTGACATACTCATACTAATACTTGTACTTTTTTAACATCTAAAAAATTATTTTAATTTCACAGGCACTTTAAATCCATAACACTTTCATAGACCTACATTAGAAAAGAGCAAAAGCTTATAATATGATGCACAGCAACAGTTGCTAAGGTAGGATTGACTGCTGGAAGTCTTTTTTTCTCTACATAGGTACACAGGAGAAATACACAGAGGGCAAATGGAGAGCCGTCCTCCCTGAAGATCAGCTGAAGCTGAGTAAACATGATGGCCAGGTGTGGATAGCTTTACTAAACCTGATGCTCAAACCAGACTGCCAGCGGAAATATGATTTCAACAGCTTCAATAAAACACAACTCTTAAAAGTAAGACTTTAAATATTTGCTTTTCAATAAGGGTTCCTGTAGTGTATCAAGTTGGTATATAAAACTTACATTTTGATTTTGATTCAGACATTAAATATCTGAAGAGGGGATAAATCTGCATTATTCAACGCTGAGTTTGATTTACTCATAACCTAAACATACAGTCTGTTCCTCTAATTCTGATTTATTCAATGTCAAAGATAATTACTGTATGATTTTTTTCTCTGTCTGCATGCAGCTTCGTGGGTTTCTGACAGATGTTGTGATAGATCAGTTACCAAACTTACTTGATCTCAAGCATTTCCTCAGTCAACTTGCTCTCACAGATCCAGTGGCTCCTAAAAAAGATCTCATCTTGGAGCAGGTATTCTACAAACACATATATGTACACTTGGGATTAGTAAATTTTCATAGGCTGTCAACTGTATGTCTTGTACACTATATAGTTTTTTTAAGAGTATATCTATATATATATATTCTCAAGAAAGATTATGGTAACATACCAAAACAATTATAACTGACAAAAAAGAATTTAAGAACTTCTGTAAATGTAATTTTTCAAAAATGCATGTTCTGAGGAAAAAAGTTAGGAAACTCCACCCCTGAATAACTAGTGTTACCCCTTTGGGTGAAATAACTGCTGTGAGGCGTTTCTATTAGCCATCTACTAGTCTCTGACATCGGTCTGAGGAAAGTGTAGCACACTCTTTAATGCAGAATTCTTTTAGCTGTGAGATGTTTGAGGAGTTTCTTCCATGTACAGCTCATTTCAAATCACCCCACAGCATCTCAACAGGATTATGATCTGGGCTTTGACTTGGCCATTCCAGGACTCTGCATTTTTTAGTTTTACGCCAGTTTTTGCTTGATTTACTGGTATGTTTTGGGTCATTGTCATGTTGCAGTTTGTTTCAGCTTTAATTTTCAGACAGATGGTCTCATGTGTTCCTCAAGCACTCTCTGATACACCATAGAATTCATGGTGGATTCTGTGATGGTGATCTGACCAGGGGTCTGTTCTTCGTACGTGGATTACTCAGTTAGCTGGATTTGGATATTGATGATTTGACACGATTTAGGATCGTTTATTTCTTCAAAACTCATCTGAGACTTGCTGTCATAGCAACAGTTCTGGTAGCTCAAGCCTGATTGGGTGCAGGTTCATTTCATAAACAGGATTAGATCGGGTCAGTTCAAGCAAAGGTAATACTAAAAGTATGTACCAAATGCTGACATTGTCTTACAGTAGTTATATACACTTGGTAAAATAGTAATTATATATTTTTAACTATATATATATATATATATATATATATATATATATATATATATATATATATATATATATATATATATATATAAAGTAAAAAAAATGCATAAATATTAAACTTATGCAATCGGCATTCCGAAATAAAAGTACAAAGACTGCCACCTGAGTTATTGGTGTGTTTTGAAAATAAACCAATCAGAGTCTTATCTCCCATTCCCTTTAAGAGTGAGTTGCATCGTGCCATAAGCGCATTTGCTATTTACATGACGTAAAGTAAGTGTAAGTGGAAAAACTGAGCATTTCACAAGCAAGATAACAGTTAAACAGAGCATCTACTGTGCAAGAAATGGTATAAATGATCTGCTTTCACTTTCGCTCTTGTGGATAGGGAAACCTTTACACACAGACATCAGTTAGCCTATAAATAATTAATTTTGTTTGTTAAGCGCAAAAATTTGTTTCAAAACTATTTCTAAATTCAGTTCTAATTTCCAGCAAACGAATAAATGAACAATAATAACGAAGTGTGCTCAAAAAGTTATATCCTAAAACACATGCTGTGCTCCTTATGGTCTAAAACCTGCAGGTGGACAAATCTAAGCTGTTTTAATAAAACAAATATAAATATGGATATATTAAATAATACTGCTAATAATAATAAAATTATACAAAAGCAAATTGTTATGAATGAACTGAAAAAGCCTCCCGAGATGAAAAAGGCATAAAAGCAGTGGTTTTTCATATTTATGTAGGCTAGAAAATAATACGTTTTGTAATTATTTAATCCTTTATATTTATATAATATATATATTCTTATTATATCCTATATATATCCTTAATATTTTAATTTTTTTCAAATGTAAAGATATTTGCGTATTGCTCTACCTCTTGTGTGTATTAAGCAATGTGTAAGCGAGGCGCAACTCTGCGCTGGAGTTTAGACCGGGTTTGTTTTGGTTTATTGCAAAATCTCTTATAGTTTCTCAAAATAGCAACGCGCCAGCAGTGCGCCTCAGAGCGCCTTCGTTTTTAGACCAGAACGCCAATAGCCCCTTTCACACATACAGACCTTTACGGAAAATTGCCGGCAATTTTCCGGAAAGGTTGTATGTGTGAACAGGTCCTTTTTGAAAATACCTGTAAATTCATTCTGGCTATTTTCCGGAAAGGGAAGTTGTAACATTACCGCCAATTTGCCGGAATGCTGCGCTGTGTGAATGCAGAAGGAAGATTGCCGTAATAAGCGTGTGCACGTCTAGAACGTGCTGACGTGAGACGTCTGCTTTAGCCAATCACAACAGTCAGACGCATTTACGTCCGCGCGGTTTGTGAGAATAAAAGCCTTTGAATATTTTTCCAGACACATTTAGCTGCTAGAAGTTAGTCAGATCACGTTTATATGTTCTTCTTAATGCCAACTGTGTAAATAATCATCGATGAGATGCTTATGATAAGCCGTTGTTTGTTTACCTTCAAGCTTTGCGTGTGCCTGTGAAACAGCCTGTGAGCGCCTGCCCTGCACACGCACATATTATGAACATCTCGACATGCGAAAGTGATCCAGCGAAAGTTGTTCACAATATTGATCATCCACAGAGTTTGTAATTTAGTCAAATGTTTACAAATACAAGCGCAGCCGTTTAAAGCTCATTTGTTGGTGAATGATGTCAGAATTTACCGGTATTTTGGAATGGATGTGTGAATGCTCTTTTCCGGAAAATTTCCGTAACGTCCTCGCCTGTGTGAACAGTGCTTTTTTGAATATACCGGTAAAGTCGTTCCGGAAATTTTCCAGATATTTACCGGTATCACTGTGTGAAAGGGGCTTATGGGTGCACATATGAGCCCAAATGCATTTGCTATTTAAACAGGGTAGCGCAACGCCTCAAAACGACTCTTGCGCCAAGCTGAAACTTGAAAAAAAACTATTACGTCGCGCCTTGCGCCACATTGCACCGGGTGTATGATAGGGCCCTAAATGTGAGGTGTCCTAACCTTTTCCTCAGAATATGCATTTTTGTAGAATTAAATCTTAAATTTAAATAAAAGTTTTCAGTTTAAATGGTTTACTTATGTTACCTTAATCTTTCAGTATTGTTAAAATTCAGATTTAATAACAATATAATATCCGTATTATAAAACCTTACAAAATACCCAGGCTTTCATAGGGTGTCCTAATTTTTTTTTACATGACTGTGAATATATCCAGCACAACTGTTTTCTTTGACATCATGTTTACATTTAAATTTTTTTTTTTTTTTTTTACAATTTTGTGTTTAAATTGTGGGAGCATAAAATACTTTCTTCCCCTCCCCTAATTTTTAAAAGACACAGTAGATGGTAATATTCAATTGGCCATCTACCCCAATAAAAAATCGTCAAAATCATCAAAAATGAAGCATGTTTTTTATCATTTAGCTGCCAGAAATATGGAATAATATTGTAATGGAGAATGACAAGAAGTGGAAAGCCATTGCCAAATACCAAGTGACGAATGTTTTTAACCCCTCTGAAAGTGAACTGAGAGAACAGGCTAGCAGGTAAGATTTGATGTATATCTGGATGAGGAGTTATTCAAATCTCAGTCTGACAGTTGGCATATATACTGAATAAATGTTGACATGAGGCCTTCTGATCAGGTTGGCTCAAACGTATAATCTGGATGTGATGGAGAATCTAATCCCAGACAAACCTAAATGTGGAGCCTGTGGAAGAACGGGTGTGAAACGCTGCTCCCGCTGTCAGGGAGAGTGGTACTGCAACAGGTATTGTGCTTTCTGACAAAAACATTCAGACTGTGCCCATTTGAAGATATTGTTTACTCAAAATATTAATTGTTATAACAAAACAAGTTTGTTTTTATATGCTTTTTCCGACCAGAAAAAAAAACATATATTAATTTACTAAATCAAATGAATTATATGGAAATACTGGCTTTGACTGTAAACCTTCGTCCAAAATCGCTTAATACTCATGTACAGTTCAGAGATATTCAGCTTAGTGAAGAAATGGCACAAATACTGTGGAGTTTCTAGGAAGTGGGACTCAATTTTTTATTAAGCTTGTTTAATTTAAAAGGTGCAGTCATGTGCTTTTTCTGGGAGACTTAGAGTGAGAATATTGCATGAAATGATCAAGACCAAGATTTTTAATAAATAATAATTTGTAAAATTAATTTTGTATAAATCTTGGGATCTTATTTAAAACCATATAGCCCCAAAAACGCTATGTGTGGCATGAATAGGACCATTTTTGATACTTCTCCAGCATTGCTAAAACCTTATTGTTGGTCACTTTTTGCTGCCATTATATGTATGGACTTTAGCATTTTCTTAAAACTCTTAATTCTTAAAGAAAGTAGCACTGGAACCGGTCTAGTAAATACATTTTGATTGAAATATGCCTTTAAATGCCAACTAATCAGTAAACATATAAACACAGAATGTTTTCCCACAAACTCAGCTGGCAGGCAAATACTACGATTATACATAAAAATAAACAATAACACAAATCATTTTAAGTGCAATCAGTAACAGCAATAATTAACTATAATCTAAGCAGTGTTCTCCCTTTTTTATTCCTTTTATTATTGAATGTTTTGATTTTGAACAAAGCCCGAGTTCCACCCTCCAAAAAAGTAAAATAAAATAAACACAATAATACTATAATAATAGGTACAAAACCAGGATTTAAACATATATGATACAGTCTCTCATATTTAACCAAAATTGTAGTTTTTTTACTGGCTCCGTATATTATGTATTCCAAACTAATAATGTCCAGTACATAGAGCCTAGTAGGATAGATCAGCCAGAGAAAGCTGTGCTCTCTTGAAACTCTAAAAACATCTTTACTTATTTCTCCAAGCACAACATTTTGGTAGTTTACTACACCGAATCTTGTACACGTTTTTTTTCCCCCCTTTGTTGGGAATCTTGGGATATGACAGTTTGTAGAGTGGAAGCAAAGTTGGAGAGAAAGCGGATGGGATTGGGACTTGACCTTGCGATGCCTGAAGCAAAGTAGCTCTATACCCCCCTCTTTCCCACCAAACAACCTTGGCATTCAAACCCAGTGAATACGATGTGATCATGCAGCCAACTATAGTTTATAGAGATGGAGATTTCAAGCAATAATAACTTGTTTATTCACAGTGCCGTAATTTGCACAGAAGGAGTATATAAAGGAGAGTAATGTGGTTTATTATTAGCACACTTTTTAGAACTTTTTAGAATGCCAATGTGTTCAGCATTATGTTCCGTTACTATTTATATATGGTGCTCGAAACATTTTCTGCTTCGAGTTTTTGTTTATTGTGTTGGTCAGAGTAGCCCCTCCCTCAGCACCTGACGTAAACAGTTCTTACTTGTAGCCCAACGATGTTTTGTTACGAACCACTTTTCTTGCTGCTTTTCCATTAATAAGCGCTCAAACGGACTTGTTGATGCACTGCTGGAAGGCTATTTGTGCCGACCAGTCAGACCTCGCGAGGTCTTGTCACGCCCTACTAATCAGTTCTTTAAGTAATTAATTCACTCACTTACTCAAAAAAAAAAAAAAAAAAAAATCTGTTAATTACTCACCCTTATGTTGTTCCAAACCCCTGAGACTTTCATTGATCTTCAGAACACAAATAAAGATATTTTCGATGAAATGTGAGAGCTCCCTCATCCTCCATATACAGCAGCAGTCCAGAAAAGTTCAAAGATTCACTGTAAAAACGCTGGCTTCCACACAAATCTGTCATGTTGACCCAACTCAAATCTATTAAGCTAGCTTAAATATTTTTACAAATTTAAGTAGATTGAACAAAAAAAAAAATTGTGTTGTTTTAATTCATTAAATATAAGTATTTTTTTTGTAGGAAAGGGACCAAAACACTTTTAAAACATTACTGGTAATTATTACTGGTAATACAATTGTTTGCTTTGTTTGTTGGTAAAGAGGTAATTCTCCTAAAAATGTACATTTTCTCAGACTCAATTGGGTCAAACTGTTTATTAATTTCTCCCTTTTGTCGAACACAAACAATATAAGATATATCATGAAGAATGTTGGGGAAAAGTAGCCATTGACATCCATACAGCAAAAAAATGTGGAAGTCAGTGGCTTTTTTTCCAAGATTTTTGTGAATATCTTCAAAAGAAGAAAAGAAAAACGCAAATATGTCAAATGTTTGGGTAGTTCATTTGATTAATAATTCTGTTGGTGTGATTTTTGGCTGTAGGGAGTGTCAGGTGAAACACTGGCCCAAGCACAAGCCCTCATGCAACCTCATGGCAGAGGCTTTCCAGAAACTGCAGGAGGAAATGAAGATCAGCAGCTGAAGGGGAGGGATGCTGTGGACACAGATATGCTTTACAACATGTCCACTACTGAACGTCTTATTGAATGCACACTAATAGTAAAAGACACAAGAAACTGTTTCCGACATCTTGTATATTAGGTCATTTGTGAATTAATAAGAGAGCATTCTTTTAGGAAAACTTTTACATACCGTATGCATTTTGTCATATATACTTTGTAAATATATGCATTTTATGTCCATATTTGGCATCATTTAGCTATGTTTCTCATATGTAATTGTCTTATTAGATATATTAATATTCAATGAAGTTTTGAGATGCAATCACTTTTGGATCTTTTCTAAGTGACTATATTTTGAAACAAAAAGGAGTCTATATTTTACATATGATTACAATAAATTGTGACAGGAGCTTTTAAGTTTCAGATGTATTTTAGTGAGCAAAAACTAAAAACAACTAAAATAGGGTGACAGGATTTCAATAGTTTTTTTTTTGATAGTGATAATTTAGGTGAAGATAAATAATGTAGTGCTTATATAGGAATAGTACATGCACAGTTACAGGCAAAATAATAATTTTTAATACATTATACACACACACAGCTTCAGTAGTTTGTTGTTCTTTTCTCACTATTATATAGTGAGAAAAGGAACAACAATAAACTACTGAAGCTGAGAAATGACAACATGCTTGATGGAAAGATATTACTATATAAATTGCTTATAACCTATTTTAACATAAAATTTAACATTGTGCATAATTACAAGCAAAAACACTAAATTTAATAGCAGTAAAGTCAATAGTAATAACTATAAGTAGTTAATAAATATCACTCAGTAGGCTACTTATTTGTGCAATTACATTGTAACAATTTAACCTTAAAATTGCAAAATAAACCTTATATAGACATATATGATGACTGTTACTGATTAGTACTTATTGTCGTGTATTGTTATTTGTTATAATGTAGAGCAGAGAATAGGATTAAATAACTTTGTACTCCTTTTTGATACACCTAGAAGTTACTATTGTTTTTATATTGTTTTAGTTTTTTAATTAGTGTTATTGCAGTTATCTTGACATGTTCAAAATAAAGTCTAAAGCAATTGTAACACATTAGAAAAAATGTATAAATAAACAACAAAGTTTATTTTAAAAAAATATTTTAACAAGAAACACCCCTTAACATATCCAAAAAATAATACAAACTACAAAGGTATATATGTAATGCTTGTAGGGTCCACCCTGTTGGTCCAATGCCGGTGTCCACTGGTGGATGAAGGTTCAATGCCTGTTCGGTCTTTCCAGTGCACAATGTTGATTTACCTTAAATGTAAATCATATCTGACTCCAATTTTAGTACGAGGTGGTTTAGAATATTAATATATTTATCTTTAGTTTTATCTTTTTCCAATTATTATTTTTTTTTAAACTTTTGTTTTTTATTCGTTTTAACATAACGGAACAAACAGATCACCAGAGGCATCACATACAATTATTACATTCTTCTTATACAGTCGTTTTCATAGTACAGGTTACTCTCCCATCAGCCCCCACCCTAACCCGTCAGTAAAAGTTACTGTGTTATAAGCATAAACACCAACATAGTTTCCTTCAAGTCCATATGATTCAGTCTTTTACAATCTGTAATGTGCGGTCCAAACAAAATATTTCACATATATAATATACATATATATGTACATATATTGAAAAAGAAAAAAAAAAACTAATAAAAAATATAAATAAATATAAATAAGGGGAGGAGGGGGGTTCGCACTCATTGCAAAGCATTTCCTAGCAAATTATATATTTTCTATATTCTTATATATAAACCATTTTGACCAATTTTTATAGCATTTATCCATGTTTAGTCTTAAAGAAAAGGTGAGTTTCTCCATTTCAAACATATTATCTACAATTGTTATCCACTCATCCTTTGTTGGTGGAATCTCTTCCAACCATTTCTTGGTTATTGCTTTTTTACTAGCAACTAATAGTATTTTGAGAAGGTATTTGTCTTGTGCATTAAAATCGGTTTGTATGTTTCCTAAATATATAGTACCAAAGCTATGATCAATCTCAAAACCCAGTATTGATTCAATTTCAGTGACCACCATTAACCAATAAGATTGGATTGCTGGACAATTCCAGAATATATGATAATAATCAGCCATAAAATTGTTACATCGTCTCCAGCAACGTGCAGAATCTAAGTTACCATTCTGTGAGTATTTCCTTTTTGGAGTAATAAAGAATCTAATCATATTTTTCCATGAGAATTCTCTCCATTGACCAGAACTAGAGGTAGTATGTTGAGTTTTACAAATATTTGTCCAATCTTCTTCTGACAGAAATATGTTCGCCTCCTTCTCCCATTTCTCTTTAACATATAAGGTAGAGAGAGACTTGGCAGACTGTATGTATGCATATATTCTTGATACTAGTTTCTTATGAATACTACCTTTATATGCAGCAACAAAAATGTTAATGAGACTCAGGTCACTTCCCTCCTTATTTTTAATGTTTTTATTGAAGTGAGTTCTAAGCTGTAAATATCTATAGAAATCCTGTTTCTCTAAGTTATATCTATCAATTAGACTTTGAAAGCTATCTAAATCTGTCTTGGATGAGATTGTACAGTATGAAGTAATGCCGTTCCAAATCCATTGTTTAAACCGTGCGTCCATCTGAGAGGGTTTAAAGTCTCTATCATATGCCACCCATCTTAACAGCTGTGCATGTCTCTCCAACTTTAGGGTTTTGCACTCTTTAAACCAAATATTAAGAGGAACCAATGTCCAAGTGCTTAATTTGTTGGAGTGCATAGTCAAAGTCCTTTTGTCCCCTAATGAACAAGGAAGGGGAAAGTCCAACTGATTAAATTCTATTTCTTTCCATTTTGCATCATAATCATCTATACACCAGCTGACTAGGTGTTTTAGTTGTGCCGCTTTATAATAATCCTCCAAACACGGAAGGGACAGTCCTCCCCTTTCCTTTGTTAATTGTAGTGTTTTAAGTCTCACTCTGGGTTTCAGATTCTTCCATATAAATCTCGAAATCATTTGATTCCAATCATTAAATTGTTTTTTTGGTATTTCAATAGGTAGAGATTGGAAAAGAAACAGCAGTCGCGGCAGAACATTCATCTTTATAATTTCTATTCGGTTACATAAACTTAAAGGTAGGGGTGTCCAACTATCCAGGTCTGTTTTTATCTCCTTTGTCATAGGGCCATAATTAGTTGTATACATTTTAGTCAAATTCTTAGGTATATTAATCCCTAGATATTTAATATTCTTTGTTTTCCACTTAAAATTATATTTATTACGTATGTTTTCCTGTGGTAAATAATTAAAAGAAAGGCATTGAGTTTTGTGTAAATTTAGTTTATATCCCGAATACCAACCAAATTGTTCAAGGCAAGACATAAGTTTAGGTAAACTAGAATCTGGGTTGGAAATAGTCACAAGGACGTCATCTGCATACAGGCATATTTTATGTTCTGTTTTTTCCATTGGAATGCCTAAAATTTCCGTATGTTCTCTGATAGCCTGAGCTAATGGCTCTATGAATAGAGCAAAAAGTGTGGGACTTAAGGGGTATCCCTGACGACATCCCCGTTCCAGTGTAATTGAGCTGTAGACGTTACCATTTATTTTAATCTGGGCTGTTGGTAAATGATATAATGGTTTAAGACTTCCTATAACTTCTTTATTAAAGCCAAAGCGTTCCAGCACCAGGTACAAATATTCCCATCGCACCGAATCGAAAGCTTTTTCAGCATCAAGGCTTATTGCCAAAGATTTGTAATTATTTTTACTCATGTTCTCAAGTAAAAATAAAGCACGTCTTACATTATCGTGTGTCTGCCTATTTTTAACAAATCCTGTTTGGTCAGTATCAATTAGTTCAGGAACTATATTCTCTAATCTTTTTGCTAATATTGATGCGTATATTCTGTAATCTATATTTAAAACTGAAATAGGTCTGTATGAGCCGCATTCTGTCCTATCTTTTCCAGTCTTTGGTATTACGGATATAATAGCTTGTTTCCAGGACACTGGGGTTCCCCCTCCCCTAAGAATATGGTTAAAACATTTTAGAAGCATAGGTTTTAGAAATTCCTTAAAGGTTTTATACCACTCTGCTGGGTATCCATCTCCTCCCGGTACTTTGTTTGTTTTTAAGTTTGATATTGCGTTATCAATTTCTGTTTCTGTAATTTCTTGTGTTACCGATTTGTTTTGTTTCACTCCTACTGATGGTAAATCTAGAGATTCTAAAAAACTTTTTATAATTGAGGGGTCTGCCGCTTCTGGCTGACAGTATAGTTTCTTATAGTAATTTTTAAAAGATTGTGATATTTCTTCTGGTTTGTAACACATTACATTGGTTTCAGGATCCTTGATTTTAAAAATTGACCTTTCTGTTTGTTGTTTACGAAGTCTCCAAGCTAACATTCTTTTAGCTCTGGGACCGCTCTCATAATAGTTTTGTTTAACATATTTGAGTTTAATCTCCACTTGTTTGTCAAGAATCTTATTTACTTGTTGTTTTATTATTTTTATTTCATCTAGTAATTCAGGTTTATTTAATTCAATATGTTTCTGTTCCAGTACCTTTAATTTATTTGTTAAGACATTCATTAACATCTGTTTTTCTTTTTTTTCCTCGATGCCCACTTTATGAGCTTTCCTCTCAGCACTGCTTTGGCAGCGTCCCATATAACACATGGTGACATATCCTCATTATTATTAAACTCAATGTAGTCCTTAATTTCTTTTTTAATGTATTCTTTACATTGGCGATCATTCAGAAAACTAGTATTTAGTCTCCAAATAGTGTTTTTGGGTTGAACATCAAGATGGAGTCTCAAATACAGTCCCGCATGATCCGAAACATCTTTAACTCCTATTTCACAGTCTATAATTCTGTGCCTCTCTGAGTGATACATGAAAAAATAGTCAACCCTAGAGTAAACCTTGTGAGGATGGGAGAAGAAAGTGAACTGTCTACTAGATGGGTGGAGTTCCCTCCATATATCAAACAGGCCTGCGGCCTTTAGCATCCTCTTAACAAACAGTGATTCAGAATTTGTCTTCTTTGTTGGATTTGAAGAGTCAAGGGTAGGATGCAACTGTACGTTCCAGTCCCCCCCACAAATAAGAGTACCCGAAACTTCTGAATTTATTAGGTCAAATATTTTCTTAATTAATATTTTATCCTGTCCTGGTGGTCATCTTTTTCCAATTATAAAGCATTAAGAAGATTATATCAATATGTAATTTAGATAAATGTTTGAACCTTTTATCTTCACTAGTAACTATCACATCCGTTCATTCGGGTGCTCATGTCGCTCAGAGAAATCGCCTCGGCCGAAGGCGGCCCTCACGGTCACAATCTGGTCAGTCTTGAATATTAAACAGAGGTAATTGACTAATACTTTTAGATGGCCGCTACCAGCGCGCTCGTTCTAAAATACTTTAGTTAGTCCCGCTTAGATGTACACCCTTGAGTTAAGACAATATCATTTCTAATTAGAGGTTAGGGCATTATTATAAATGTACCCGACTACTGGACTCTATAATAACTTTGGTTTTCAACAAGCCCATGGTTTCCCATATGAACTTAATTTAGAATAATATTACCTTCAAACAAAGGTCGGGTACCCAATCTAGGATAGCCGTGCAACTCCTTGTTGTCCTAGACGGAAGTTAACGGCCTTTTCACCTAAGTACACTTGAATCAGTATCAAGAGTCAGTCGGATCCCTAAAACACAATTTGTGTGCCCAATGCTCCATCTCAACTGGATTCTAGTCCTTCTACTGACCTGACGCAAGAAGTGCGGAAACAAGGATACAGCGTAATCTACTACTAATAATTACAGAGTGAGCGAAATATGTTCAAACATAACAATTTATTAGTCAGGTAAATGTATTATACCAATTCAATCAGTCAATTCATAAACGATCAATTCAAAACATCAAATTATCAAAGATAAATCCAAGATGAAAAGATGCATACCTGACTTTAAATTAAACATAACATGGAGCGTAAGCTCCATGTTACGGGCTGATCTGGGTAAGCAGAATCGCGTCGAACATTTCTCAAACCTTAACTTAAGTAATCCAAGAATCCCCTCAAGGAAAGGGGTGTGTGCATAACAAAAGGCATTTGCATTTAGTGCTGCCTGTAGGAAAGTCACACCCTTCACAATGGTTCAAAAGGTGCCTGAAGTTATATATTTATTGTTTTGATTGTCTATTTCTGAGAGAATGAGACCATTGTATCAGTCGCAATGAGACATTTCAAATGATATCAAACATGATAGATAAAGTCACTTGGGTTAATTTAGAACATTCAGACTTTAAAATGACCAAATGTGTGAGTTGGGGTGGTTGAAGTCAAGTTTCAGTAGGGGGAACTGGTTCTTTCCCGCATTCCCACCTGCTGGGTTGCAGAGTCTATTTGTCTCTGCTTTCAGCTCATGTTTGATTTGTCAAAAACATCAAAATATTTGTAATATCTCAATTCTTACATGCTAAAATAAAACCATTAAAAGAGTAGTTCAGCTACAATTGACAATGACATTATCATTTAATCCATCATAAATTTCTTTGTTCTGTTGAACACAAGTTGCGACAACTCTGTAGACTCCAAATGGAACATTTCATCAACAGCACTGCCTTCTCATGAAGCATCTCAATAGTTATCAGAAATTAGCTCTCACAGCCAAGTTACAGCTGAAGATGGCTGATTATGTACTTTCGAAAGATTTAATGTTATCTAATTTTAGGTCTACATGAATCACATGATGATGGAAAATTTTGGGCTTCCGATTTAACAACTCTCTCTGGCTCAACAGAAGAGGAAAAAACTCAAGTAGGTTTTGAACCAGAAAGGATAAGGAAATGATCAGAAGTGCACAACAGAAGTGTAATTTTTGGATGAACTATGCCTTTAAGATTCCAGAGGCTGGAACATTACACTAAGGCTGTATTATTTTATGTTACTTAAAAGGTGCAGTATGTAATTTTGAAACCCAGTGGTTGAAATAGGTAGCGCGCTCCTGGATCAAAATAAACGCAAGTGCAGGTTGCCAGATTGAGGACAGGAGCAAGTAACAAACAAAATAACAAAGCAAATAAACAAAAGCAAAGGCACCCGAAAGAAGGATTCTCCGTGTAAAAAAGGAGTTTTTGTTCTCATCAACACCTCAAATTGATATATTAGAAACGGCTTCTATTTCATACAGGTGAACAACAGAAAACTATGACAATAATCACCTCAGGTACACCTTGTGTGCCTTATTCAACAGGGTGTTTTCACACCTCTAGTTTGGAAAAAGTCTGTTTAGGGGGGAGTGTCGGGGGAGGGAAATTGCATACAGATTTGCATAAAAATGGGAGTTTCGATTTGAGCACAAACTGATTTTCACAGAGGCTAAACAAACACAGGCGTAGGGGAGAAAGACAGTGACTGTGTTTACATGGATATAATGGATGTAATAGAATTATTTGACAAATTATTAAATGGTGGACTTTGTTTGGCTCTTCCATTCAGGAATTTAATTTATTCCCCTCGTGACAAACTAGATATTTAATTCGAGGAACTGCTCTTAGCGTGTATTTTTAATTCAATGTTTCATACCACACGGCGAATGAGAGAAAAAAAACTCCGCGTTTGTTGGAAACTGTGATGATGCACTCTGTAGGTAGCGTCAGAAAGCCATGTGTGTTATTTCTGTCACAAAGTGCAGCGAAAATCCTCCACAACGGTAAAAGTTTGACTGCGGTGTTTAACTTGCAAGTTGGAGAGCAGCAGCGTTTACAGCAAATCTTTCAGCCTATAATATTGTAGTGATATTAACGTACTGTAAACTTTAGTAAATAAGAAATCATTTGACTAAGGTCTTTCTTTAAACACTGAAAGAGAACTGCTGAACATACCAACTAACTTTGCCATCTGAATAAACAAAGACCACTGGTCGCTCACTCACCAAATCTGTAGAGATAAGACAATCAACACCAACTGGAGCTGTGTCTTTATTAAAGGGAGACGTGCAACAAATCCGGATTCCCAGGTGAGAAAAGCTCTCGAGTAAAAAATGTTCCTTAGACACGTATTTCTGTCGAGCGTCGCATGCACTGTTATCCACACATGAGTCCAGCTGCACTCTCATAGCGGGAAAATGAAACAAAACCTTCACAAAGCAAATAATAAAAGCATCACTGACGACTCGCATCTCCAAACAATTCTTCTTCTCCCGCTTGTTTTGGCAACACAACATGGTGTCTCTCTCTGCCGTCTGAACACTGTATCAGCTACAGTCTTCGAAGCTATCGTGCATATTAATGAAGTTGCACCGCATACACAATAGAGGGCGATTGGTTTAAACCAAGTCTTACTCATGAATGAATGCAGCACACTCAGAAACGTCAGAAAGTACTCCCAGGTACTGACAGCCAGTCTACACGCTGGAATACATGCTAAGATCTTATTGCCGTGACACAGCTTCAAAAATTCGTTTCAAACCAGAAGAACGAATTTGCTTGAAATACTGCAAAAACAACCAATTTTCACTTTTTAGTGAAATATGTGTCCTAATAGTGTTTTTAGCAGAATATGGGACACATATGACTGTCAACAGCTCAAAAAATGTGTTTTAGCATTTCATAACCCTTTAAATGTAAATTTGAATGCCATTTTATGACATTTATAGCCATACTACTGAAAGCAGCAGCAGATTGATACCTCCGATCTTGAAAATAAAATAAACCATTTGAAATTGAACTATAGAACTAAACACATGATTCAGCATCTACATTTAATAGTGTTTAAGAGGATTAATATGTATTCATTAGATTATAAACCTTACCATTTTGTGAGTGATTGCATATTTTGTGCTTCTGAATAGCTGTATTTAATTTCTGTCGTGTTGCGTCTGTGTAACAGCCAAAAATGCTTCACTGCGTATCTCATCACATAGGGTGTTGTTAGGACACGGGGTTACAATGTAACCTGCTCACCTAATGTTAACGTTCGTAATATTTGTATTTATATTTGCTATTTAATAACCTCATGTGGAACTCCTCATGTGGAATCTGCGTCTCATTTTAGAGTCTGCTACTGTCCACCAGAGTTCGCATTTCGGTCATAGATGCATGCTTTCAGAGCTTTTTTGAATGAATGAATGAATGAATAAATAAATGAATGAATAAAACAGCTTTAGTCTATGAAGTTTTCCACCAAGGCAACCAGGGGTGCTGAAATATAATTGGCTAAACTGGCAAATTAGCAGAACAAAGACAGCGTTCCGGCACAGAAAACACTTTTTTTTAAAGCAGAATATATGATTCAACATTATTTTTTAGATAAATATGTTCCCTTGACATGTTTCTTAAATATCTGTAAACATGTATGATATTTTTATGCTTTAGAGGAGTCAAAAACTTACATACAGCACCTATAATTAAACAATAAACAACACATTTATTACAGTATTTGTTCATAAAGTTTACATTAGTTAATGAAAATATAGTTGTTTATCGTTAGTTTATGAAAACCCATAATGCATTAACGTTAACAAGCATGAATGTGGATTTTAAAGCTGGATTAGTAAAGCAAGAGTAATAAATTTACAAAGCACACCACAAACCATTTTAAGCTGATTGTTTTATTGTAACTTTCATTCGTCCTCCATGTAACAGTGAGATTACATTGTCATGTTGCACACTGCAAAATCCCAAATAGTACAATGAGTGTAAAAATGTGAGAACAACAAAACCCACGAGAGAAAGAGATGTTCGTGAATATCAGACACAATAAGATTCCAGCTTTCATTCACAAACCTTGCTTTTTAGAATATAAGGGAAAAAAAAAAACCTTTGGTTTGAATTTCATGACATTTGTATGCTGTACTGAAACATGCATTTCAAGAAATGACAGTACATTACGATTACAATGGACATAAGTAACTATTTTCAATTCAATGTGGACACAAAAAAGTAAGACACTCAAAAACATGAAAACAAATACAACAAAAACAAAATTGTCCAACTGCTCTACAGTAGTCATTTGTGTTTAGTAGCATAATTATCTTGTATCAAAAGTACTGACATTTCCAACATACAGGATCAGTCTTTTAGGATGTTGGCTTCAGATCATTTGTCTGTAAATACATGAGCGTTGTCTAGTGCGTTTCTAGTGCAAACAGTTTTTTATTTGACTAATTTCTACTTCATTCGTTGGACAATAGAATGTAGAAAAAGGTAACATTTCACAAAAGAACTTGATAAATGAAGTACTTTTCTAGGTAAATACTTCAGCTGCTTTGATCAATCTTTCTGATGTTTGGTTCAGAAACATCATTTCATCATCAACAATCACCACCGATCTTTCTCACTCCTGCTTTAAAATGTTAAAAAGACCGATACAAAATCTAGATGAACCCACAGTTGTGTCTAAAGGACATGTTTTATAAAACAGATATTAACAAAATACGTACAAAACTTTCATAAACTTGTTGAAAGTGTAAAATAAAAAAAGATTAGACTGCTGTTTGCCTGTGTGGTGAATATGCTGGAAATTCTTCAGTTAAGGTCTGAACATGATTTAATCTTTGAGACTGAAATAAAGATTTGATCATTTCATTTTGCTGATAATATTCCCTTTATGCCTGTCTTTGTTTGTTGTCCTTAGAATCCGAATGAACAAAGACAATCTCTTGACTTAAAAAAAAAAAAGAAATGGTGTAGAATTAGACTAAAATGCATTACAAAAGCTGTCTTCAAATCTTCAAAATTGAAATATAAAGTCCAACACCTTACCATGCTACATTGTCTTTAGCTCCAGTTCTCAGAACCACTGCAAAAGAACAGAAGAACATGTCACTGAAATAGTGTTGTTTCTGTGAAGTTTTAAATGACTTAATATGTAAAGAGAGTCAGGTATAAATGTATTAAAAGTCAAAAAGTTACAGGCATGAAAATTAAGCTAACAAGCACAGTGTGAAATTATTGAGAAAACATGTGGAACATCAAAGAAAATATCACATTTCATTGAAATGATTGAGTCTTGACAACAAAAGAGTCCAAAAGTAAACTCGACACGCAAAGACTGTATAGGATGAAATGAAATGAAGGTAAATTCTGGATGGTGCACAACAAAGAAGGCAAACAAAGGTTTTATAGAATAATAGTTCACCCAGACTCACTAGAAAATGTGCCTCTACCAACAATTTTGGAAAAATTCCAAAAGCGTGGCTGAAATGAATACGAATAAGTAAAACGTTAACTATCACTACTCATTTTCAAACAAACAAAACTTTCAAACTCCATGAGCATCGCTTGTAAATGAATACAGCTTAACAATTGAATTGCATTTCTGTCCCCTTATACTTGTTTTACAACAGTAAACTTGCTCTGAAGCTCATATCATAGAGCTTTGAACGTTTGAAGTAAAAAGTTTGCAGTCCTGTGAAACTCAGTTCAACAAAACAGCTTGAAAGTGAAGTGATATGAATGCTTCAGTAAATTCATTTAGCATACTTCTTGTCACTATTGGTTGGATAAGCTCAAAATATAGTACCATTTGAACTTGAGGCTCTGAATACAGTGTGTGTTCAGGGTTGCCAGGTCCAAGACAATTTTTCAGTCCAATGAGGACTTCCACCCAAAATGAACAAAAAATACTCACTGACTGAGTTTCCACATACCAAACGACACTTCTAAAGACCTTTCAAGGAAGTGGCCATTCCAGTCGTTAGAGATGTTAAGTCAAGTTATTTAATTATTCATTCTTTATTTTCTTTTCGGCTTAGTCCCTTTATTAATCCAGGGTCGCTACAGCGGAATAAACCGCCAACTTATACAGCATATGTTTTACGCAGCGGATGCCCTTCCAGCTGCAACCCATCACTGGAAAACATCCATACACACCCATTCACACACACACAATTTTAGCCTACCCAATTTACCTGTACTGCTTGTCTTTGGACTGTGGAGGAAACCAGAGCACCCGGAGGAAACCCACACAAACACAAGGAGAACATGTAAACTCCATACAGAAATGCCAACTGGCTCAGTCGGGGCTTGAACCAGCAACCTTCTTGCTGTGAGGTGATCGTGCTACCCACTGTGCCACCGTGTAGCCCGTTATTTACTTATTTTTTCTTCAGATCACAACAGAAATCGTTTAACTTTCCTTCCTACAGAACAGGTCTTTTTTTATATATTTAAACAAAGAAAATGCCGTATGTTATTTATCTTATTTACAATGACAGAAAGATATTTCTGGCTGCTCTCTGTATATTGTGTGCAGTGTATTTCCATTCCGATGCGCACTCACACACAAGCAGAGAGACAGCCCGCTATTTCTGTTTTCTGTTATTTAACAAAGTAAATATGTAAAAAAGAGTCATACCTGATCATTGTCCATCATAGTGGAAAAGTAGTTAATAATTAGCCATGATGTGGCTAGCCATAACACTTTACTACAATTAATTTTGGGCCACTCACTGAACATTTCAATTTGAAATTTGCCAGAAGCAACGTAATCGATTTTTTTTTCTTTTTTTTTTCTTTTTTGCAAAAAGCTTGTCGTAGGCACATTTTTAGTGTATTTTGTAAGCCAAGGTTGGTGATGGTGGAGGTTAATGAACAGGAATCCAGTAGAGATGTCAGTTGAGAAACATTAGAGGAGCATGAAGTTTTGAACAAGAGGAGCAAAGATGTGAATGAATGTAATTGTAGAGAAGGTGGACATCATTTTCTGGACAGAAAAAGGAACAGATGATCTCTTGTAGAGTTTTGTACCTGTAGGACGCAGGTACAATTCATACCCAGTGTGAAAGTGTGTGAATTTGTGTCACCAGTCAGGTTGTCTCGGGGGGGCTGAAGCCCGAGGATACCACCTCATTGTGTCATAGGATGGATAGCTGAAAAAGAATCCAGGTTCATTTTTGGTGAACTATTTTATTTCTGAATGCTTGGAATGGCAGTGAATGGACAAATGGAAAAAAACGATGGAGTCTGAAGTTCAACTCAAAAAAAAAAAAAAGAGTCATGCAGAACATACAGTACATCTGGGTAAACATGAATGCTAGACAATAAACATGTTATTATTCACTATATGTGTGCACTCCAAAAAACCTTAGGACTTCTAAATGAAACCGATTTTTCGGCATTCATGTTGATACAGGTAAAAACAAAATACACATTTATGCTATTTCACTAAATATATATGCTCCTTTAAAACTGATTAAATAAATAAATTAAAAACAAGCAGGCAAGCAACCAAGTAAATAAAATCAACTTGACTAAATGATAAAGTGCAACAGTATATTATATTACACTGTATTAAAGACACAGCTCTTAGTTTTAAAGATGTTAAAAGTTGTAAATAACATTCTTCTAAAAGCATTTTTGTCCAAGATCAGCTGTTGATAATTAAAATATATTATATATAAAACAATAAAATATACACTCACCGACCACTTTATTAGGCACAATAAACAGCTTGTTAACACAAATTTCTAATGAGCTAATCACATGGCAGCAACTTAATGCATTTAGGCATGTAGACAAGGTTCAAACGATCTGCTGCAGTTAAAACTAAGCATCAGAATGGGGAATAAAGGTGATTTAAGTGACTTTGAACGTGGCATGGTTGTTGGTGCCAGACAGGGCTGGTCTGGGTATTTCAGAAACTGCTGATCTACTAGGATTTTCACGCACAACTGTCTCTAGGGTTTACAGAGAATGGGCTGAAAAAGAGAAAATACCCAGTGAGCAGCAGTTCTGCAGGCACAAATGCCTTGTTGATGCCAGAGGTCAGAGGAGAATGGCCAGACTGTTTCCAGCTGATAGAAAGGCAACATTAACTTAAACAATCACTCGTTACAACCGAGGTATGGAGAAGAGCATCTCTGAACGCACAACACGTCCAACCTTAAAGCGGATGGGCTATAGCAGCAGAAGACCACATTGGGTGCACTCCTGTCAGCTAAGAACATTTGCACAGGCTCATCAAAACCAGACAAGATTGTAAAAACATTGCCTGGTCTTATGAGTCCCGATTTCTGCTGCAACATTCAGATGCTAGGGTCAGAATTTGGCATCAACAACATGAAAGCATGGATCCATCCTGCCTTGTATCAATGGTTCAGGCTGCTGGTGGTGGTGTAATGGAGTGGGGAATATTTTCCTGGCCCCATTAGTACCAATTGAACATCGCAAGTATTGTTGCTGACCATTTCCTTCCCTTTATGACCACAATGTACCCATCTTCTGATGACTACTTCCACCGGCATAACGCGCCTTGTAATAAAGCCCGAACAATCTCAGACTGGTTTCTCAAACATGTCAATGAGTTCACTGTACTCAAATGGCCTCCACAGTCACCAGATCTCAATCCAATAGAGCACCTTTAGGATGTGGTGGAACGGGAGATTCGCATCATGGATGTGCAGCTGACAAATTTGCAGCAACGGCATGATGCTGTCATGTCAATATGGACCACAATCTCAGAGGAATATTTCCAGTACCTTGTTGAATCTATGCCATGGAGGATTAAGGCAGTTCTGAAGGCAAAAGGGGGTCCAACCCGGTACAAGTAAGGTGTACCTAATAAAGTGGCCGCTGAGTGTATACTAGATTATGATGATATAAAATATATATAAAATTACAGAAAATAAGTAAATATATACTGTAAAAATCATTTATTCATTTAAAATGTATAATCAATTGCTACATGTTTTTATACAGTCAAGCCCGAAATTATTCATAATAATATTATTAAATTATTTTAATAATAATTTTGAGATTGACTGTCATACCCACAGTCAGGGTTCATGCATACTGTATATATAAAAACAACAATGCACAAAATTGTCTTCTATAGTCATCCAACTAAAAGAGTGATTTCAGCATGCAGAGATGAAATGGCAGAATGAACTCTACCTGCTCATCATGGGGTTGTTTATGCCATATAAAGGCTCATTATGACAACCACTGACAACAACATCCATACTACTGTAAATAAAACAATGAACAAACACGTGAAATGAGCATGAGATGCATGAACGAAAGCCAGCAGTTCAAAGATCAACATGATTTCACTAAATACATAAATACTAAATTAAGATTTCAAAGGCACAATGGAAAATATGCCAAGTTAAATACAATTGAAAAGATGAAGTAGATCAAGAGATGAGAAAAACAAAGAGATGAGAAAAACAAAGAAGTGGTTGGTTATGAACATGAAGAGATGAAGATTGTGGAAAGCAAGTGTGAAATTTGACGATATAAGAAACATAAGATGTCTCTTAAAGAAAGGGAACAAGGCTGTTTCAAAGAACTTCTTTGAATGTTGGTAAAAGATTTTCCATTCTGTTGCAGCTTACATTCTAGGAGCAATCCATTACATAGTCATCATGAAAGTTATTGCGTATAGTCTGACAGAAGGACACAAACTGAGCAGGTGTGTGTGTGTGTTCACTCACTCATCAAAGACATCCTCAGTGTCCATCCTGCGGTAGAATTTGGCGAGTTTTACTGACATGATGATGCTGGGAATGAGGAGCACACAACATCCTCCCAGACCAAACCAGAATGTGTTCTGAAACACACAAGCACGCACATATGAACTTAAGAACACATTAGCATACATAAGCCCATAAACAATAACATGTTTTTAATCACAGATGTTTTTAAACTTCCATATGTAGATTGACACAGTTTTTACATGTTTTCATTTAAGACATGAATAATAAACCTGGCCCTACCATTTATTATTTGGTTGTTGTTGATTTAAAAGAATAAAACTTTTTTTCAGCAAGGACATACTAATTAAAATTATGGTAAATTTATAAATATTATAACAGATTTTGACTTTAAGCCAATGCTGTTGATTTAATCGTTTAATTTATTTAATAGAGATGAAAAATTATATTATATTTTCACAAAAACAGCAGCACATTTTTTCATTACTGATAATGAGTAGATTTTTGTTTAGTTTTTTTCCAAATCATCTTTATCACAGTAACAATTGAAAAAATATATTTCAAAATATCACAGATTTGACTGTATTATTATTACTTGAAAAATGAAAATTACTTGACCATTTATTATGTGGTTTGAAAACTTTTATGAAAAAAAATCCGCCATTTTTCAAAATATCTGCTTTTATGTTCAACAGATAAAAGAAACTGAAAAAAAATGTTTTAAACACATGAAGAGTGAGTAAAGGATGGCGAAAATGAATTTTCACCTTTTGGTAAACTATCCCATTAAATGCAGTTTTGGTAAGACAACAAGGCTTCTGTAGTAGATATACTTTATTTGTCATAGTATGATAATCAATGTTTTTCCGATATGATAAATCTGTCACATAGTTAATGGCACATTGTCGAATGATTTAAATGTTCAGGATAATGCTGAGAGAGCTATTCTGTACTGTATCATCAATAAATCAAGCAAAGAAAAAAATCATTAAAGTTTAACATAGCTAGATTTATATAACCACATACCATTTGTAATCAAACTGTCATAATCATAATTTCTTAACTGTTATTTTCTACCACTCTCAGTTTTTTTGTGTGTTTATTTTGATATTGAGAGAAAGAAGCGCAGATTATTTACATATCCTTGTAAAAATAAAACATTGGCTTAAAATGGTAAGGAACAGTTGAAGTCAAAATTATTAGCCCCCTTAATTACTAGTCCCCCTGTATATTTGTTTCCCCAAATCTCCAAACGGAGAGAAGTTTTTTTCAACACATTTTTAAACATGATTTCATGACATTTCTAATAACTTATTTATTTTATCTTTGACATGATGACCGTAAATAATATTTTACTACATATTTTTCAAGACACTGCTATTAAGTTTAAAGTGACATTTAAAGGCTTAACTAGGTTAATTAGGTTAACTAGGTAGGTTAGGGTAATTAGGCAAGTTATTGTACAATGATGGTTTGTTCTGTAGACTATCAAAAAATATATAAATCTTAAAGGGGCTAATAATTTTGACCTTAAAATAGTTAAAAAAAAATAAAAACAGTTTTTATTCTTGCTGAAACAAAACAAATAAGACTTTCTCCAAAAGAAAAAAATATTATCAAACATACTGGGAAAATGTCCTTGCTCTGTTAAACATCATTTGGGAAATATTGTGTGTGTTTTCCTTTAAATTGTATACATCTACAAGCTCATGGTTTTTGCACATGTTATATTTTTCATATTTGCTATATGTGATTCTGAACCCCAAAATAACATTCCATATAGATATTTTATAAATTTCCAATAGTAAAATATCAAAATTCAATTGTCATACATAAATACTTATTTATTAACTTATACATTTTTCATGTAATGTAAAGATCAGAATTTCCATTTTATTAAAACTTATGATATATCATTTGTATATCTTATATATGATCTGATTTCATATAATAGATATATTGCATAACATATAAATATTATATAACATACAAATATTATATATTTGATTTCTGAATCATACCACTGAATCAACAATGAAGCTGCAGGCTACAATCTCTGCTGAGTCCACAATGTTGCTGATAGGTTTGCACTGGGCGACCTCCATTGCCAGCTGCAAATACAGAAACATAATTCTATTTAGTATACCCCTACATAAAAAACAGTGCTCTTTAGAAGAAGGAAGCTGAACTTTATCTTATCCTGCCATGGCATACTTACTGAGTGTTTAACCCACTCCGTATATTGGGAAAAGTATCCAATAATTTTCTTAATGAATTTATCAGACTCCTGTGATTATAAAACAAAAATACCAAATAATTATATATAATATATTTGTACATAAACATTCATTGCAGACCATTTAAAATTGAGCTACTAATGTTTTTTTTAATTCATCAGTGTTTTTGCCCAACTTAAAATGTAAGTGTTTAAAATTAAACTTGAGAAATAATAAGACTTGTGTGTGTGAAATGTGTGTACATTAAGCTTAAAACCAAAATTATTTCTAAAATTATACAAAAAAATCTGTCTTAAATTATTTAGCTTGAATGACATTAAGATGTTTTTTCTTTCTTGAAATAATTAAATAATAAATTTTTGATAAATACATTTTTGTCTTTATTCCTGTGGATAAAGATTAGTAATAACTAAATAATAACTAATTAATTAAATAATGAACCATCATACCTGTTTGACCACATGTGAGGCATTGTTGGAGATGAGATATTCTGCTGCCTCGATGGCATTCAGTACATTTGTCACTTTAACCTAACGGTAGAACATAATTATCATACAAAATCACCCAAATATGTATTAGACACAGAACTATTGTGGCATCTATTTCCTAAAACTGATTAAATTATATGATTGTGTTTTTACTGGACTTACAGGCAGCTCTCTGGATGTTTTCTCCAATTGTCTGATGCTTTGATTTAAATTGCTCTGAAAGAACAACACATACATTCGATTTTTAAAAAATCTATACAACATAAACCTCTTTCAATCTGTTGACAGCTTTGATGTATCTGAATTTTTAAAAATATTTAAAAGAAGTCTTAATTTCACTATATTGAATCAGTTGATTTTGGTAATGAAACACAATTGTACAGCAAACACCAATACCAAATCACAACACACACAATGAGCCAAAATGTGGACACTTAAACATGCAAACACATTTAAACGACGTTTTTGAACACACATTTACTCAAACACATGCTTCAGAACTACATTCATATTCGGTTAGTCACATCACATGATACCAACTGCTGGCTTACCCTTGCTTTCACAAATTTCTGGTTCCATTTGAAAAAAAAGAATAACATTTAAAATAAAACTTCTTGTTTAAATCAAAAGATATCTGCTTGTGAATTACTAGGTTGTAAACATAAATTTGGGCACTGGTAAAGACAGTGATGAGCTTGTTTCACTACATGATGGAACACAAAGTGTGACATGAGAGCATCCTTGTTGTAAAACATCAAAATGAGAATTTATGATCAACAGCACAACTGATATTTTTCAAATATTAACTTCATAATGTTTTTAATAGTAAACTGCAGAAAAGTAATTGATTGTTTTGTGTACCAGCAGCTTTTTATACATTAATCAAATATAAACATTCTCTAGGTTGTTCTGTATCTGTTAATTCAAGGTTAAATTTAAAAAGATTTTTTGTTATGTTTGGTGAGTTGGTTTGTGCATCAGAATTCTGTTAAGGGAACATAGTGAGCATCAAAGCACCTTGATTTTCTTAGTGCATTATGGGACATTTCAGGGAACAAATGTTTCAGTGCACTGGAAGAATTTTGAGATTGAGACAACACATAAAAGAGCCAACTCCCTGATTAATGCCCTGACTACTGAACAAAAGAGCTGATTGAGATGCACAATAAGTTTAAGAGTGAGATAAGGGGATAGAAAATATAATTAGCTGAATATAAAAACAATTATATTTATGGAAGCCATGGCTGTTTCTCAATATGTGCTCTTCAGCGATCTTGCGTCCTCTTGTTCTCGTGTAACGTCATCATCAACAGCCAAAGTTCAGTTCCAAAACTCAAGACCGCAAGAACGAAGGATGCGTGAAAGTTCCCGGATGTGTTCTTAATATCAAGAATGCACCAATGTGGACTTGAGCAACCAACTAGCTCGAGAAGTCTAAGAAGTCATTGCGACTCATAGCGTTAAAGGAGGTGGGAAGTACAGCATTTTATATAGATTTATTGTTATCTATATCTATTTAGACTTCTTTATCTCAGGAGATTCCATGAATGAAATGGTGAAAGTAAACGTCACCATGAAAATCTTAATAAAGACATAAACCAATTAAGGGTGTTTGTTTGCTGAAATTCATATTATTCAATTCGTATTGTGCACCATATATTCGGAAGGTTTTGTGCATGTTATACATATATTGAAAGGGGAAAAAACATAAATCATTGTATGAATGCTGTAATGTTTAAATCATATTCAGTTAAAAACGCGTGACCATCAGGAAGAACGCAGCATCCCATTTCTCACAGGATGCGTTCTGTTTTCGCGGTCTCCCAAGTTTGTTCTTCCGAGATGATCTGGCGAGACCGGTCTTCACAAGAACACAAGTCTGTTCTATGCGTTCTTGGAATTGAGAAACAGCTGACAGTATGTCAGATTGTGTGTTCATGTGTCTATTATTTACAGTACCTAACCATACATTGAGGACAAATTTGTACCAAGATTCGAGATGATGTCATCCTTTTTAAAATTGCCTTTATTTTTTATCAATTTTTTTGTATTTTTATACTTGTTATGTTATTATTTGCAAGGAAATTACTTATATTTTGAAAGGATTATAAATAATATGGATTCTTTTTTTCAGAAACTAAAATGCACAGTTTCTTGTGAGGGTTTGGGTAGGGTGACAGAAAATACTGTTTGAACAGTGTGTGTGATTGTGTGTGTGTTTGTGTGTGTATTTTACCATAGCCTGTTCCATTGGAACCACTTGATCTTTGTGGATTTGTCTGATACTGCTGGCATGACCTTTCAGTGCATTCTCAAGAGCCCCGCGTGGCTAAAAAAGACAGTGAGAAAATCAGCTTTTTGACACTGATATAACTTCATAAATAGTTTTAGTTCAGATGCAAACCCTTGAAGAACCTTCAGAAATATGCTTCTTAAAATGTGTAGGTTCAGCAATTTCAACTTTTATGATTAAGAATACATTATTTTCATTGCCTTCAAAGTGAAAATAATAAAAATAAATACATAGTAGGCTGAAAAAAATGACAGAGCTTTTTAGATGGAACTCTTCAAAGGTTCTTAAGCAACCAAAAAACAGAAATGTGCGCACATCAGAGATTCTCAAGGCAGGAGCTCGATCTAAACAAACACAGTGGAAAAAGTAAAAAGAAAATCAGCACACTTCCACTTTAAAGGAGATTAAATTTAGATTTTGATTTGAAATCTTTTTTGTAATTGTATATACAGTATGTATCTCATATTGTCATATGTATTTTGTTGTGGGGGTTTTTCCCCCTTGTTTACTGGCTTGTTGGTTGATTGATGTGATTATTGTTTGCAGGTTTGATGTGTAGAGCTTTACTTTTTCTCTTTTTCTTGAGTTCTTGTTTAACCTGATGAAGACATTGTTGGTCGAAGCGTTGTTTTTTTTTTTTGAGAGCTAAAGTGGACTTTTTCCACTCTTCGAATGTTTCAAATTTAACTATTTAAAAACAATATAATAACTACACACTATGAATCATCTATTAAGCTTTAGCAAATAGTTTATTTATTATCTGTTAAGCATTAACTACATTAACAGATGTTAGTAAGCAGTTTACAACTACAGATACAAATACTCTATTTTTGACTTATAAGCACATATATAATGTGCTTAGTGATTGTATTTTCATACTTTGTTAATTATTATTTTTTCATTAATAAATTCAGTATTGCATTATCTACAAACCAGTTATTTGAGAGAAGTTGCTGGTTTTTAAAGATCATTTAGAATGGGTAAATAAATGATTAATAGAATATTCAAATTAACATGTTTATCTTATTATTTTGCCATATATTTAATTTGTATGTTAATAAATGCTTTATTATTCATTATTTATGCTTTATAAATCCCTTATAAATGACAATTAGGCTCAGTCATATTCTAAACAGGAAAAAAGAAAATAAACGACTTTATTAATTTCATTTAAAGACACACAAATGAAACTGTATCAGATGAAAAATAAATCTTTTCAATCCTAACTAAAATAAAATTACGGTGCAATTTAAGCATTGCTAGATAACATTGAAATGTTGTATCATAATATATTGTGAAATTATTATATTGTTGATGTTTAAGCCAATTTTCTGTTATATTCGGACACTCCTGTTATTCTACAATGCTTAACGTTTACAGTAATTTAACTTTTTAGATAATACTGCAAAGATTATTGTTTATTTGATATTGAGCCTTTAACTGTCATTTATTAGGGATTTATAAAGCACAAACAGTCTCCACTTTAGGTCACAAAACTGGATAAAGTTGAGTTAATAAAGCAGTTATTAACATACAAATGAACTATTAGTACATGCCTGAATATAAATAAATCGTTGATTCAAATAGTTTAAAAAACATTTACTTACTCATTTTGAATGATCTTAAAACCCCCTAACTATTCATAAATACAAATGATTTGTAAATAATCCAATACTTAATTTAATCATGAAAAATAAATCAGTAACAAATTATGAAAATACAATCATTAGGCAAATTATATACATGCTTACAAGTCAAGGAAAGAGCATTTGTATCTGGAGTTATAAACTGCTTACATCTGTTAATGTGGAGTTAATGCTTAACAGATAATGAATTAACTATTTGCTATTGCTTAATAAATGATTCATAGTGTTATTATAAAGTTTTACCAAAAATGTCATTTAACCATACAGAAATGATTTCTGCTCTTTATTTTGGGATGAATAATGTATATTTATATACTTTAAAACTGAACAGCTAGGTCTGGGTCATATTTAAAACAACCTAAAAAATAGAAAGTCTTGCAATAATCCAGTTAGAGTTGTACTCGTTTATTACCTACAAACAATATTAGCTATTAACAAACAGGCTCACATCTCTGACATTTTTCTGCCCAAGTGCTGTAAAAGGCCCACAGTCAAATTCCCATAAGCACATGCACACACTGCGGTGTGTTTTCCCTCATGAATGAGTGCTTGTGTTCCTCTACACTGGAGGCCAGATCTCCAAAAAAACATTTCTAAATGTTCCATAGACTGACCTCTTGGTGTTTGCTGACGTGACTCACTATGATACATCCAGTAAATGATATCTAACCTACTGAACTGCGAATATTAGCATGTTTATGAAATAACACTGGAATTTATACGAATTGAAAGTATTTGACTTACCAGGTTATCTGCTTGAGCATCGAGTTCATTTGCATAGGACAATAGATCCACAACTGTCACTCCTTTATTCACCTGTCAGTCAAACAAGTATTTTTTTTTTTTACAAATTACAAGTGTGATGTGTTGTAGTACCAGCTGTAAGTGTCTGTAGGAATGTGTGGTTCACCTCTGTTAAATAAGCCTGGTAGTCAATGTCTCCAATGCCTGTGTTGGCAAAGTCGATGAGATTGTCTTTACCCTCCTGTTCCAGAAGAAGCATTCCTTGCAGATCCACATTTACATTATTAAATATATCGCCAATTTCAGGGTTGAACTGGTGAGAAATCACAAACACCAAGTTAAAGTATTGACTTCATGATCACTTTGCAGAAATACACAAAAATACAGTTGTTCACGCACCACTGTGGCATTGAGAAACTTGTTAAAGTTGAATTTGGTCTCCAGTTGTAGAGCTGAATATAAACCATTATTCTCGTAACAATCTCTATGAACACAAGACAGACGAAAAGTAAATATAAAAGTATGAAAATCAACAGAGGAATTCACAAGAGAAAAAAACTACAGTGTCAAAACAAATCCATTGTTAAAATGATAACCACACACATAAACACATATGATTAATGGGAAATAATAATTCTTTGGACTCTTTCTCTTTGGACTTTCTTCATAAATAATGATTTTTATGCAGTAGAAAATAATACATTCTTTCCCCTTACCTCAACATAATCTCAGTCCTTGCAGAAAACATTTTGTACTTTTTTTCAAAATGCTTTATTCTGTATGATTTATTATCAGTGGGGACTCAATTAAGGTCCCCATATTGACACAAATCCTCATAAGTCGGAGTGCACTTACGTCCCAAAGTCCCCACTAAGATATAAAAACATCCACACACACTTACCTGTACATACTGCCAATAGTCAGATCGATGTTGGGATCTTGAAACAACATGCCAGGAAGGAAGTTTTTTTTGGTCGGATGGACCATGTATGGTGTATCAATAATCTGCAGAGCATAAAAGATTTTAAGATTTAGTTTTAAATTTTCAATTTTTAGACGAATTAATTTTTCCTTATTTGTGGACCAGCAAAGAAAAACGATGAATTTTAATATTAATTGAGTAAATACTGTAAAAACACATTTTTGCCATTGCTAGATATAGGTATAATGGACAGGACAGTATATTAGGGCTGTCAAATGATTTTAAAAAAGAATGTAATTAATCACACTTTTTTTGTAATTGATCATAATTAATCACGAAACGGCGTATTTATTACAAAAATAAAAACACAGGCATGTAAGTGCTATTTGAATTTCAAAACAATCAATGCCAATAACAAACAAAAAGGATTTTTATGTTGGATTCTAAGTGGACTACACACACACACACACACACACACACACACACACAGACAACACGCGCAGTGCGTGTGGGATACTTTCTGATTCATCAACACGCACGATCGCGTTCATCAAATTTGCTTAAACTAAGCTTTCTAAAGTCTGGCTGTACTTTACAAGCAAGGATTTTGACACAGCAACATGGAGCAGATGCTTTACAAAAGTTGCGTGTAGGGGAAGCCACGTCAAACTTATGAAATGTGAGGGCTTATGAAGGCAGAGAACAGGGCTGTTTTTGACAGCTTGCGACTTCCATCTTCCATTTTCACTGAGTACATTTACATGGACACCAATACTCCGCTTTTATGATTAAGCTAATACTGATTAAGAGTTGATCTTGTAAGCAGCGATTTTTGATTACCTTAAAGGATTATGCGAGTCCCGAAATGCGGAGGTTTTTCTTTCCGTTCGCCATGTTCGCCATTATTTGTATCAAATTCCATTAAAACATCCAAAATGAAAATATGCTAAATAAGAGCGAAATGCTGAACTGCAGTTAAAGTCTAAAGATTAAAAATAAAACACCTGAAATTGCATGAAACTTGGAGGAAAAGCAGGATAGCCTGGTGATGTGACATTAATTGTTTTATACTGAAACTTTCCTTCTAAAAGCACGTCCTTAGTCTTATCCAAATTTCTTTGAACGTTAAACACACGCAGGGCCGGAGCAAGCTAAACTGGCGCTTTAGGCAAACGGCAGTCACGCTGCCCTTAACCCGAGAGTGACCGATTCGTGGATGAAAGGGCTGTGAGGATGAAAGTGAGCACCCGGGGTTCGCTTACTATTCTGCTGCCCAAGGCGGCCTAGGTCGCCTCTATGCACGTGCTATCCCTGAACACACATCAGCCACAACAGGAAATAAAATAAAAAACTGCAACTGCGTTATTTGCATTTTTTTTTTTTATTCGTTAATTTTTTTAACGCCTTAAATATTTCAAATTAATCATTTGGAATCATTCGAAAGACATTTTTTCTCTACATTGTAGGAAACACTTGAACCCTCACACACACACACACACACACACACACACACACACACACACACACACACACACACACACACACACACACACACACGCACACACACACTTACCCTCCTTGTTAAACCACAGTTTAACAACATAAATACAAGAGCCCCAGTGTTTTGTGTGTTACGTAAGATTATACAGGTCTGCTTCTCTTCTGCCTTCCAAAAATACACTTCAAGTGTGTGTACATTTTAAATCAAGTTAATATATATATATTTCAGTATTCAATTTCTGTGTGTCATCTATTTTATTTTATTTTTTTACAGATCAGTTAGTATTTGTTAATAAACTTAAAATCAAATAATCAAACTTTTTAAATGTTGTTATTTTTTGTTGTAGATCAATGTGGCAGTACCTTAAAAATCTGTCTGTTAGCCAGTGGCTCGCACACAAGCTTTTCAATGTTTCCACCAACAATAAATGTTGTGACCACAACTCCCATGAGCACCCAGGAGAAGATGAAGCTGAAGCCAACAGAACTGAGCACCACAAGAACAAAAAAAAAAATGTTATTGTCCAACATATAACTGAATTTTTAAATGTAAGGGTACATGTAGTTTTGGTGACTCACGCCATCAGCAGGTTTCCTCCAGTGTTGGACAAACAGCCCCGTGTGGTTGGAGTGGAGTTTTTATCATAGCCACATGATCCACACAACAGACCCAGAAAATTAAAAGCCAGAACCAGCACAACCAAACAGCAGATCAACACACACCCGATCCATCTGCACTCAGGACAGAGATGTTTGAAAAAAATATAACATTTTAAATTAAAAAAAGAGCAAAATTCAAGACAAACAAAACATTTACAAAATTGTCTTGAAATTTTGTAGTTTGTAATATTTTTATCCCAAAATTTTACATTTAAATGTACATTTTTACATTTTAATTAACTTAAATGTATCAACTTTCTATTTATAAAGTTGTTCATTGACTAAAGTATTCTTTTGATAAATATATCCGTAAATATAACCAAACTATATTACCTGTATTCACTGAGAAATTGATAAAAATATTCATTTTCACAACTCATTTATGCTGAGCACTGAAGGGTGGTCAGATGTGGGTGAAAATCATTAAAATTGCTCATGATGACAGGAAACTTCAAATAAACATGGTGGAGAAAGAGCTAATACTGAGTAATTTATATTTAACACACTTAACCCAAATAGTTGACTTATACCAGGAATACCAGAAAAGTGTGTGGAAATCCTAAAACCTCTGAAGTTTTGGCAAACGGAGAAACTAAACAGCTCTAGTTGAATTAACATATAGCTTAAGCTTCCATTTACGTTTAATTCAACAAGGGCTATTTTGTTTCACCATGTGTAAAAACCCTGTGTGGCTTAAGACAACAGGTTTTCCACAAAAGTCCCTGTTTAGTAATCAAATTAATCGATTTAATAGATCCAGTCATTAAAACATTCACTTGCTTCTATTGTAAATAAATCTGCATTTTTTTTAATCATTTGAATGAATGATTAAGTAAATAATTCACCAATACATATTGTTGTATTTATCACAACATTTCGATAAGAAGCAAGTAGTATAGACCCCTTGCCCCATCAAAGTCCTTATTTGCCACACCATCCTCCTTAATTTTTTTCTACATTTTTTTTTTAAATAGTGAGAGCAGAATTTATTTGTAGTGTGTGTATGGTGTTAGTTTTATATTGGTGAACTCTGCAGAAGTACCTGTAGAAGTCCAGCTGGTCGATCTGTGGATAGTATGCTTCAATATTCTTCTGGCTGTCTGTCAGGAACTTTGAGAAGTTTTGAAGTGCTGGCTCAACCGGGAACATCTTTGTGAAACCAATAATCTCTGCACCTGATTTATCCAGCAGCCCTTTCACTTCTTTAGGAGACAGAGATAGAGAAATATGATTTTATGGAGATTATAGGAACACTACTACCATTTAAAAAAATGCTTATTTTATGATTCTTCTAGATTTAAACAGTTGAATTTTATTTTTATATCCATTTCCCTCATTTAGCTTAGCTTAGCATAAATCATTAAATTGGATTAGACCAGGGGTCACCAAACTTGTTCCTGGAGGGCCGGTGTCCTGCAGATTTTAGCTCCAACCCTAATCAAACACACCTGAACAAGTTAATCAAGGTCTTACTAGGTATACTTAAAACACCCAGGCAGGTGTGTTGAGGTAAGTTGGAGCTAAAACCTGAAGGGACACCGGCCCTCCAGGACGAGATTGGTGACCCCTGGATTAGACCATTAGCATCTTAATAAATTCAATAAAGAGTTTTGATAATGATCAATGAACTTTGAGGCTGTACGCTGGCTCCAGCTGGTGCTATGATATAACACACTTTTACATAGTTACCTAGCTGAAGACTATTTTTATCTTTGCGTAATATCATTTTGCACCTGCTGCAGCAATGGTAAGTAAAGTCCCTCGATCATTATGCTGGAATGAGAGAATAGTCCCTGAGAAAACTGAGAAAAGAGCCATTTTTAATTTTCAGTCAGTCTTAGTTCCTGACGAAATTACAAAAGAGTAAAACTTGAGTCAAAATAGGAAAATTATGAAAATACTTGAAATTTTTTTTTGAGCTATATGCTAATGGTTTATTCCAGTATAATGATTTGTGCTAAGCTAAAAGCTAAAAGTGCTCCCACCAGATCCAGAGATGAGCTGACTTGAATAAAATAGCCGAACTCAACTCAAGAGTTGTAAAATGAACCTATTTCCAAAAAAGTGTTTCTTTAAACAAACAAACAAACAAAAAACTATATACAAAGACAAATAATTTCATTTGAAACATTTCTGTGAAAATTGGCATTGAAGAAATATTAGAGAGACACTTACTGGGTAGAGCTTCATTTTTAAAGAAGACAGACAGGTTCCCGCATGCATATGAGAGTAATAGCAGAATAATATTTAGTGGTTTTTCTTTATTTTATTAGAACAACTGAGCTTAGAATGATGACAAAGAACAGAGCTGCAGGCCTACAAAAGCATCTAACAGACATTCTGTTAAAACACCTATGAAGGTAGCACATAAAGACAACTATCTACTGTATGTACTGTAGGTAACAAAGCAGCACATCAGGGCTTTAGACAGAAGAATAAAGAGCACACCCTCACCTGACACAATCCCTTTAGTCTGTTCCCTTACCAACTGTGGTGTGTCGTTAAAAGAAGAGTAGCCCTGAAGAGGTAAACAAAAAGAAAAGGTGGTGAAAAGCTGTCACTGGACATTACAGGTATTTAAAAGTGATGCAGACAGAGCCATCTGACCTTTTGAACAATATTACTGAGGTCTGTTTTAAGCACAGCATCCAGATTGGCTAAAGGTGCCTCAACATCGGGCAACTGTTGAAAAACAGAAGTGAAAATTACACAACACAAATGAACATAAAGTCATTTCACACTTAAAATCAGTTGGGTCATTAGGTAAACAGGATCATGGGTGGTCTGTCTTCATGTTTCCAATTTACCTCGGGTTAACAATTAATCTTTTTTATTCTTACACTGACATTTCACAATAAACACAGTTGGTGGTGTCAATAGAAACATTCCTTCCAGGCTTCCACCTACTTTTATGTGCAATTTGGAATTTCACATAAAATGAATCAGCTTTGAAAATGCACATAAAAACGTATTGTGGGGGAAATACGTAGGTATTCAACATGTGACCATTTTTTTTCAGAAAAAATATTTCAAAAAGTGCTGTTGACTGAATGTTGGGACCAACCAAAGAAATCCATATATGCAAAAAAAAACAAAAAAAAAAAAAACAACTAATTAGTTTACAAATGAAGTTATGTGTAATAAAATAAAATGACACAGGGGAGAAGTATTGAACAAATGAAGAAAGGGAGGTGTACAAAGACAGTGAAAGTCCAGACAGTAGCTAAACTCTCTCAGTAGTTATTCAGCAGCCCTCTGCCCTTCGTCGCTGTAAATAATATTAGCTGCTTCAGTCCAACACTTACATTACCAGGATGATGAAGATGAAACTAGAATAGGCATTTTAGCAAGACAAATGAGCCAAAACACAGTCAAGGAAACTCTCAAATGGTCTCAGAGAAAGAAAATTAAACTGTATAGTGGCCCAGCCAATCACCTGACTTGAATCTGATATAAAATACAAATTAAAGATCAGATTTCATAGACGAAAATTAGAGAACTATCAAGATTTTTACATTCTGTTGAAGTCTGTAAAAAACTAATCTCTGAGCAATTCATGTGATCGAATTCTGCCATCACCAAAAAGCCTTTTATATAAAGCATTAAATGTGTTTAAGTACTTTCTTTGTGTGTCATTTCATCGTTATTACACATGACTAATGTTTCTGATTTTTTTGTTTAGTTTTATTTTCATGTTTGCTTTGTTTGGGTTTTTACAAGTATCTGGTTCAATTCCATTTCAACAGCTTGTTTAGAAATATTGTTCCTGGGGAAATAACCAGGACGTGCTCAATACTTATTTCCACCACTATAGGTGCAAAAACTTAGTAGGAAGAACTTCTTATCTGATAAAAATAGTTGAGCATAAAGTACAACAGAAACACCTTGGGAAAAGTAACATGACATTGATTTTACAAATCTGTTCATTGAAAATGATTACGATTAAAATGCTTGACAATGCTAAACAACTGTAGCTTGTCAGACTGCACAAACATGTTTCCCATGTCAGACTGTAAGATTTCAATTGTCAAAATGTCAGACTTAAAGACACAGACAAGCAAGAAAACTCATTCAGAGTTTGACTTCATCCATCTGTGACACATTAAATAATCTGTGCTCTGAAATGATACCTCACATCAAACATTATTAATCTGTAGTAGTTATTTTGCTCACAACATGCCTTAACAATAAACCAAGAAAAAAAGGGCAGTTTTCACATTTCCCCATGGTGGTTGGAGCTGATTGTATCATCAAATTCAGCATTCTTAGAGGTTCTGGGTTTGACAGTCATCTTTTTGACACTGCCAGACCATTCAATGGAGTAAAAATTTGATAGTCACTAATTGGCTGTTGGTGAACATGTCAAATCAACAAAGACTGCAGATTTTAGTGTAGGATGGCTGGAATCCTTTGGGGTTTTCTGACCAAAAAGGGGCTGAAATCGCGAAGTGTGAGCAGGGCTTTAAGTCATGAATCAAAAGTCTCAGAGTTTTAATTCAGTATGTTAATGTCCATCCAACTGAAACATAATATTGATTAGGAGCAGGGCTTTCTTTTTGAACATTAATCCCTCATAGCAAACTAATGGTAAGGGGGCGTGGTCAAGAATATTGTCAAACTGTCATCAAACTGAGGTCAATATAAAAGAACCATCAGTTCACACATGAAAGCAAAAGGTCAGGCTTTGGTTCACCTAAAGTAAAAGTGCTTGTGATCTAGTAAAATAAGAAATGTCAATTTTGGTTTCACTTGGAATCGAAGAGCTAGGATGTTCTCATTTCATGAAACCCTCATCTGTCCTACATTGAATAAAACTTGATTTTAGACCTTTCACATGATGAATTCATTTGTTAGCTCTTCCTGGGGGATAGAAAATTCATTTAGGACTTTATCTGCATATCTATGTGTGTTATGAGAGAGTGTTACCCCATTGAAGTTTGCACTGAGAGCGAGTTGGTTGAGGGTCCCGCGGATGGAGTTGCAAGTGTGTGTTACGTCTTCATTAGAGCATGCCCAGTCATTGAGTGTGTTTGAGAGAGACACTCGTTCAGACTGAAGAGAGACCTGAAGTCTGCCTGTTCCCTCCTGCAGGGTCTCTAGAGATGTGCTCACACTCTCTAATGACTCTTTGGTTTCCCGCATGGCTGTACAAACACACAACTTTCATTAAAATGCAACCAGGTGTAGATAACTACATAAAGGCACCAGCGGAAGGGATTTCACTACAGCAAATACACAACTGATCAAAGAATAATGACTAGAACTTTTTTTTGTTCCTTTTCTCATCAAACAGTTAAGTTTTCACCTTTGCTGAGATTTTTATCGGGGTATATAAATTCTTATTTAATTATTAAACAAACATAAAAGGTGCTAATATTAACAATACTGAAAACAACAACAAAAACAACAACACCACCATCAGGCACAAGAACAGCAGCCACAATCTCTACATTCACAAAACACAGGGCTGAATCCGTTGACTTTTACCTTTAATAGCACTCTCCACTTTAACTTTATCCAAAAACACAAGCAACAGAAACAGAAATGAACAAACTGATAAGAATAGCATCAATGGGCCTGTGTTTTGTTGTTTTCCTGCTCAAAAAGCACAGCATCATTCTATTCATTGCAATAATTACACAACCGGTCAATAGTTTGGGGTCAGTAGGATTTTTAAATGTTTTTAAAAAAGCTTATCCTGCTCATTTATTTGATCAGAAATACAGAACAAATTGTACAATTGTGAAATGCTATTTCATTATAAAATAACTGTTTAAAAGAAGTTCATAGTTTAATAATTAATTCCAGTGATTTTGTAGATGAATTTTCAGCTTCAGTACTCTAGTTTCAAGTCAGAGTCACATGATCCTTTAGATATCACTCTAATATAATTATTTTTGTTATTATTAGTATTATTATTACTATTAATGGTAATAGTAATAAAAGCAATATTGACTGAGGCAATCATTTCATTTTAAACTACATACAAAAAGCAGTCATTTAAAATTGTAATAACTATTTAACATTTTATTTACATTTAATAAATACAGCCTTGATGAGCCAAATAATCTTATTTTTTTAAAAAGAGGGGAAAAAACGGACCCCAAACTTTTGACTGGTAGTGCATATTATTTTTTATTAGATTTAAACCTATGCAAGAGAAAGAAATGACTATACTCACTCACAAATGTTACTTTATACCATACTTCTTATAATATATCTTAAGATTTTGGCTTGTACATCTCACATTTATGGCTTTAAATTCCACAGTGTATGAAGTTGACTCATGTTACAATGTTAATTTGTCATTTGAAAATGTATTCTTACAAAAATATTTTAAATGACTAATTCCCACAGAAATGTATTGCAATGTATTTTAATTGCACGAATCATGAAACATGTAAATAGGTAAATTTATAGATATATACTGTCACATTACTTTCTGACTTCAAAAAATGACTTTTAAATATCAAAGATTAAAACACCTATGAGTAAGATCACATGAATAAGAAACACCACATTGAAATGTCGGATTAATTTTGTGAATTCTGCTCTCTGTGAATTGCCTATGTGTGTGCATGCATATGTGTGTTTGTACCTGCTGTCATGCGAAGAGCATGGTCTAATGCAGGCACCACTTCACTCTCCAGCTTATTATGAATCTGTCCACCCAACAGAGTCCCGATATCTGATAAACCACATTGACAATACACTGTAAAAATACTTATAATCGTGTTCCAAAAATACAATAGGTTTGGCTTTAGTAACCTTTTCTTTTTAAGTAATGTATTTTAATTAAACTGATTTACAATGTAATTTATGGTGCAAATAAATGCTGTTCTATTTAACTTTATATTCATGAAAGAATCCTGAGCAAAAATAAATAAATACTTATAAATAATACACAAAACAATTAACAGAATATCATCTATCATTTATTTAATCGCACAATTTTTTCAACCCAAAATTAATGAATGTTAATGTGTGTGAAATTGAGACACAGCTGAGAAAGAAAGGCATAATACTTACTGTCTAAGTCTGATAATACTTTATTCTTGGCTGTTGTATACTGTGCAGTGAGGTAGTCTATTTGCTATAAACACAAACAAAATAAAATCAAAGACATCCTTCATATTTAGTGTGTGGAAATATGAAAATACTTGACTATCACAGGCCCAAGCAGGATCTACAATACACAATACACACAATTTAAAGATTTTAATTTTAAGCTAATATAATTAGCTTTCAGCTAGCAAAAATAGTCTTTGTTATACTTTGTTAGGAGTAAAGTAAGAAAGCAAGTGAGATAATTTATTCAGTTAACATAGTTTTTACTTTCAGTAAATGTTATTTGTGTATTCATTTATCTTTTGTGGCTAACACATTACATTACACACATGACAGGTGGTTCTTTTTTGACATTCAAGGATTTGGTGACTCTCACATATGGTCTTAAATGTCAAGCTTCTTATAAAATAGTAGCTACAATATTCTCAAGCAAAATGTCATGCAAAACCTCACAATATGTATCTTTACATAAAAAAATGAACATTGTGATTATAGTCAGATGCATTTGTAAAGGTTTGAGAAAATATGCATTATTTTTGTAATTCCACTAGGTGACACTATATAGCTTACTTCAACTTTAAGCTTTGTTTATGGATTTTAACACTTTCACCATACTGTCTGAGCCTGTTTTTGACTTACCGCAGGTGTGTAGTTGGCAAAAGCTTTCAGGTCTCTTATGTTAGTGCTCACAAGTCGCCTGGTGCTTTTAATCTGAGATGTGATGTTCTGGTTTGCTACATAGGCGACTGTCACTCCAACTCTGTAAACAAACACAGACAAATTGTGAGACATACTGTAATATGCATACACTAATGTTTGCATGTATCATAAAATGCTAGGCTATTTCAACCCCATGTTTGATAAAATATGGAAATAACCAATATAGGGTGATTTTTTCAAATTAAATTTATAGGACCAAACTTAACCCAATTTTAAACCAAGGTTGAAATAACCCAGCGTAATTTAGAATGTACAAGACTTGTTATGACACTGTTATGTTGGTAAATCATTTATAAATTTTAGGACGATGGTAATATCGGGCCATATAGAGGGCCATATATCGGGCCAAATAGAGGGCCATATATACTTGCAAAATAATAGAAAGTTTTGCAAACAAAAAATAAAAGCAAATCTCCAAATATAGCAAAGCAAAAATTAATTAACATGAAATGCAAATAGGCAACAGCATTGCAAACTCATGACTGACTAAAAAGCTAAAAAAAATGAGCATTGCAATTGACTGGACGGGTTTTGTAAAGGCAAAGCTAAAAAAGTGTTTTGCAAATATATATATAGCTTTTTTATTGCAAATTTTTTAGCTTTTCTACACTGCTTGATTTTTATTTGCGGTTCTTTTTTTTTTTTTTTTTTTTTTTTGTAAGTTTTATTTTTATATCCCAAAGCTTAAATTTCCCTTTGCATTTTTTTTTTTTTTACAAAATTAATTTGTATTTTTCAAAAATACATTTTTGCTTTGAGATTTTTAGAGATTTGCATTTATCATTTGCTCAGTACTTTATTTTTTGTTTGCAAGTCTTTAATTTTAATTTTGCAAGTATATACAGTATGGCCCTATATAGACTCCATGTGGTCCTGCAGTAATAACATGCGACCACGATATGGCGCTATTTACATTTGAGAAAGGGCAAATATTCAGTGAACTGGGTATTTGTTTGACTGCTGTATCATCAATGTTTAGTTCAATTCAGTTCAAGTTTATTTGTATAGCCCTTTTCACTATAAAAAAAATGAGATATTGTACATTAGACACATACTTGATGGATATTTTGATGTGGGATTTATCTAAAACAAAAAAGCTAATTTCAAATTATTTTACATAAAGTATTGGACTAGTGAAATGTAGCATTGCTATAAAATGGAAACGCAGATAGAAAGCCTTCTCCAGACTTCATTGTCACTGTTCACCCCAAAAAAAAAAAAAAACGAAATTCTTTCAGAATTTACTCATTCCTGACTTGTTCCAAACCAGTGTGTGTCTTTTTATTTTGTTGAATACAAAAATATGTTAAAAAGTTCCTGTGACATCTTAATAATTTTTTTAGGTGCTAGTTTCAGTATGTAAGCCTCGAGTATATCTATAAGCTGTACTGCAAAACAGTGACAACACTTGCATTTGGAAGACATAAACAAAAAGATTGCGTTTTGACACTTCTGCCTAAACGGGTTAACATTTTCAAGACATCACCTCATACTTCATTTTCCCATACTTGATTCTCATTACTTTGATCAAAACTGACAACATTAGTGCAGTTTCAAAACTATATTTAGAATATATGATCTTTAAAAAATACATCTAAATCTTAAAACCATAAAATTGAGATACAAAATGAAGTCGCTAACATCAGTCAACATTCACACACACACTGGTGCTCTCATAGCAACAATCTAGAGATAACACTTTCCTAATTGAGTGCTGCAGATACATATTAAATTGTGGCTTCTGATTACAGATTGTAAGCCTCTTTCCTCATTTCCCCACTCTCTTGTTTGTTCTTTCACTGTTTCTCTCACTCCATCTTTCTCCCCAGGTAAAACAAAAAAAAAAAGATTTATTAAAGAGGAAATGTGATTTAACAAAGAAAGCCATACATACAGAAAAAGAAAAGAGTGAAAAACGAAACAAAGCAGATTTGCACAGTCATGTTCTCTGCTTGCAGACCTCATCCAACACAATTACAGCAAGCCCTTCAGCCAGTCATTGAAAGTCCATCAAGACACACACAAACACACTCACAGTACAGTCAAAGCCTCACAAACGGCCATTGTGACCCAAGCAACTGCTGTCAGCACTGTCACAGAAAAAAAAGAAAACAGAAAGAAAAAGAGAGTGAACAGAGTCAATGAATGAGGGGGATGGGGTGCCGAAATAAAGACAGGACTTTCTCTCTGGACAGACTCAGGGCTATCAATGTCACATGTGTGAATGTGCCATTCTAGACCACTGCAGGTGTGTTCTCTGCACTCTAGCAGAGCTGCAAACCTCCACTATGACAACAGGCACACAATCTCGTCTAATTAGTCGAACCGTTTTCTAAAGTATCAGTTAATAATTCATTATTATTCCAAGTATGACAGAACACACAAAAATAAAACACATTAAACAAACAAGCGCCAACACATTCACACAGAGACCCAGTAGCCAGCCTGGTTAGATTAGTGTGGAGCAGCACAGCTTGTGTTTATCACAGAGTAGAGAGAGAGAGCAGTGATGGGATAGGATGATGGTGGTTCAGTGTACCCGTGACCTCTATTCTATTTCTAGATGTAAATAAGTCTAATGTACTTTAACTAGGTGAACACATTTGCACGCAAACTGGCCTCCACCACCCATTTAGTCACCTGCACATTTTCTTAAATATATCTTCAAAGAGACCAATTATGCTCCTTTTTACAACATGTAAATTAATAAGTATCTGATGTCCCTGGAGTATGTTTATCTCAAAGTACCCCACAAATGTTTCTTATAACTCTTTGAAACTGCCCCTTTTATTTTCATTCAAAAGAATGCAGTTACACATGCCTATGCATCAGCATAGCGGCATGTTCAAAAATAGATATCTCTGTGAAAAACTAAAAGTGTAAATAACAGTGAATAAGGCAGCCTATTGAGACTACAATGTTGATTTGTGCATCGTAAAACTCAAAATCTATATTGTTATATGACCTCTTAGTCACATTAACATCAGCAGATACAGTGCGAAAACTAAAATGGCGGGCGGCTGCTTCGTGATAGGTCCCATTTAAACGTTCTGTATAGCACATACCAGCATACTATGCTGTATAGACAGATACACAGCTACATAGATGCAAGTCAACATTATAGTTATTTTCTCAGCATTTGAGTTGAATTTGGGTTTTTTTGTTATAGAATGGGGACAGGTAAGGGATATTACTAATCATTTCAGACAAAGGAATGTCTGAAATACATGAGCATACAGATCACGGCCGAGTTTAAATGATTGACAGCCCAGGCTCATTGGAAATACATTGTTGTGGGTAAATTGTGCTTCACTTTTCAGATGACAAAACCACTGGATGGCGCTGTCTACAATTTTGAGAAACAAATGCGTTATTTAGGGTATGTCCTATTGGTATACAGTACATCCATGAAAAGGTGGGTTTTAAACCCTCCCCTAAACCCAATCAATAGTGTTTTGAAAGCATATGCAAGAGAAAAGTGCACTGCAACCATAGTTTTACCTTCATTTAAAAAGAAAAAAAATGTTTTTGTGTAATTAATTTATGGAACTGCTTCACTGGATTTGAACTCGAGCATGTTGCATCATAAGTATACCACCATACACAGTAAGCTAAAGAGTGTACTGACCATCTATACCCATAGCTTACAGATTTATATAAGGCAACCTTGTTTGATTACAAATTTTACACATTGTTCAGTATTTGTGGTATTTATTTGGTGTAAATAAATATTCCTTTAATCATCAATAAAAATATCAAATGTGAAAAAAGGACAATATTTACTGGCATCAAACTGCCAGGTAACATTTTTTTTTTTTTACCTAAAACTGATGTCAAACCAATGTATACTTTCTTTTCACAAAAATGTAGTCTGCATCATGTATTTCTAATGAGCCTGTGTTGCAGCAACCTCATTACAATTACAAATCAGGAATGAAATCTGGCAACCCTGACATTATGAAATGTGTTTTTCAGTTTTTCAAGCTGGTCCAGCTGATGTACACTAACCGACCATACTGTACAGTGACACATTTATTACAGGTTTTCTCAGTCCCTTTGGTGCATTTTTCACATCACTATTTACATTTGCACAACAGTTAATGCATTTCTCAAAACAATTCGTGCAAACTGCAAAACCTAGCTGATAACCAGCAAAAATATGTCACTTGGATAGTTTATTCCTTAAAAGCAAGTATTCATGTCAATGAAAGTGTCAAGATGAAAATTCCTGACACCATTGTTTATAAACAAGATAGTCAAATGGCTTTGTCATATTTTTATTATGACAGATTATGACTCTGTAAATGTTTTCCAATGCAAATAGTCAGAGTTTGGTGACACTTCCTCAAAACGCTCAAGACAGCACTATATACTATTTGCACAGCCATTTGAAAACTACAGTAAAGTTAGACATTACTGCATTTAGTGAGGTATCTGAGTACAAGACACTGAATATGTATGTTTTACATATTTACTGCATTTGCTCTTTGCAATTCTATTTTATTGACAGCAGTGTGCAACAGAATAAATACACCCTCATTTACAACAAACATAAACTTCATTTGGGTAGAGCTGTGCACAACTCAACAGTAAACAATATTACAGTACAAATTGGAACTTAACCTACAACATACACAGGTATGTAAATAATTCATCAAATTGTTCAATTTAGAAAATATTTTCAGGGAAAAAAAAAAGATTCAATTTTCTTTTTCTTTTTTAATTAGCTTGACAGATTTTGACAACTACTTCATCATTTTTGTATGTAATGACTCAAGTAATGAAATGAGGACTATAAGTTTTATATGGAATGACTATTCAGTATTCACAAGTTTAGTTAATTTTGACTGACAAGACATTAGCAATTGATAATGTTATAAGACAGCTGAGAGTTGTATGGAAGCAATTGATGCATGTCCAAAAGCATTTGCAATTTGTTGAAAGGAATGAGAAACTGCTACTATAATGTGCACAAATGATTATTTTGAGAAATGCATTAACTGTTGTACAAATGAAAATAATGTTGTGAGAAATGCACCAAAGCTGTAAAATAAGAATCGACTCATCAGTTTTGATCAACAAGCCATATGCAAATATTTTTTGTCCAAATTACATTGTATTTGCTATTTGCGAACATGTGCCAAAGCATGTTAAATTTGCATAAATCAACAAGAAATTCTACTCTTATTTGAAAAAGAAGCTAATTGTTCAGAAATCTGAACTTATTGGTTTAAAAAATAAAAATTTCAATCCAGAATTGAGAAAAACTGTAAATATATTTTTGAGAAACTGATGTTCACATTCTTTTCACAAAAATGTAGGCTGAATCGTGTTTTTAATGAGCCTGTGCTGTAGCAACCTCGTTACAATTTCAAATCAGGAATAAAATCTGGCAACCCTGCCATCATCAATGTGTTTTTCAGTTTTTCAAGTTGGTCCAGCTGATGTACACTAACTGACTATACTGTACAGTGACACATGTATGTACATATCTCAATATATTTGAAAACATTTGTAAACTATTCTGTACAATGCCTAATATACAGCATGTTTTAGACACAGATTAGATAGATTTTTCTGTAATAAATCGATAGACAGGCATAAATAGATTGATCGACAAATCAATAGATAGATAGACGGATGGACGGATGGATGGATGGATGGATGGATGGATGGATGGATGGATGATTGGTGGGTGGGTGGGTGGGTAGATAGATAGATAGATAGATAGATAGATAGATAGATAGATAGATAGATAGATAGATAGATAGATAGATAGATAGATAGATAGATAGATAGATAGATAGATAGATAGATAGATAGATAGATAGATAAATAAATGTATAATAATGTTAATTTGCTTAATAGGCAAGGATTTATAAGTATATTGTTTCTAATTTCTCAAGAATTACTAATAACGTATGCCATTTTTATAAGTGAAATTAACCAAAATTACTATTTAAAATCAGTCAGAGCTACAGTAGAATGTCTTGTTTATTTGGAGATCCTTTAGAGCAGGGGTCACCAATCTCGGTCCAGGAGGGCCGGTGTCCCTGCAGGTTTTAGCTCTAACTTGCCTCAATACACCTGCCTGGGTGTTTCAAGTATATCTAGTAAGACCTTGATTAGCTTGTTCAGGTGTGTTTGATTAGGGTTGGAGCTAAAATCTGCAGGACACCGGCCCTCCAGGAGCAAGTTTGGTGACCCCTGCTTTAGAGGGATCAAGCGGCACCAAAAAATTCAACCAATTATGTTTAAAATTATTTGAAAAACTTTAAATTAAGAACCTTCTATCAAATGTCATGCCTTTGTTGCATAACTTTTTTTTACAAGCAAATGAAATGTGTACAAGCAGTGAATGTAGATGAGGAGGACTTACGCGAGGAAGACAGAGGTAGCGATGAGTGTGGCCATGTAAAATCCACGCAGGCAGTCTCCATTCTTCTTCTGTCTCTGATGCATCTCGCCACCACAGTTCTCACAGCAGCGGCACACGCAGAAACACAGACCCACTATTGGCATGAGGAGCACAAAAAACACCCCCAGCACTGACAGCACTATAAAGCCCAGCTCATAATAGATAGTCTGCAGAAGAGAAGAGATCATTTGATGCAGTTAATATCAAATATTAATATTTCATGAAAATGTGTTTAAATGTAAATAGCAAAACCTAAATCACAAGAATTGTAAGAAAATGTCAACACAGGCTCATTGGACATACTTGCTTCAGCCTATATTTTTGTGAAAGCACATTTTCCATGTAAAATGAATGTCATGGAGCAGTATGATGCTAACAACTTTTGTTCTTTTTCACACTAATGATATTTACAGGGACATATTAATAATTTAAAAAGTATTATTTACATGCAGTGTCTTGCACAACACCAAATATTCTATGATTTGTAATCAAATATGTTTTCTTCACCTCAAGTTGAGGTCAGAATTATTAGCCCTCCTGTTAAATCTTAATTCATTTATGTTTTTCCCCCAATTTCTGTTTAACGGAGAGAAGATCTTTTCAACTGATTTTTAAAACAAGATGGTTTTAATAACTCATTTCTAATATGACATTATATGACATAATAAATAATGACATAATACAAAATTTAACAAATAATATTTTACTAGAGGTTTTTTCACAATGCTAGTATTCCACTTAAAGCTCATTTTAAAGGCTTAACTAGATTAATTAGATTAACTAGGCAAGTTAGAGTTATAGGCAATTCACTGTATAACAATGGTTTGTTCTTTAGCATATCAAAATGATAAAAAGTTCTTCTGGAGAAAGTCTTATTTGTTTTATTTCAGCTAGAATAAAAGCAGTTTTTAATTTTTAAACACCATTTTAAGGACAAAATTATTAGCCCCCTTAAGCTTTATGTTTTCCGATAGTCAACAGAACAAACCATCATTATACAATAACTTGCCTAATTACCCTAACCTGAATAGTTAACCTAATTAACTTAGTTAAGCCTTTAAATGTCACTTTAAGCTGTATAGAAGTGTCTTGAAAAATATCTAGTCAAATATTATTTACTGTCATCATGACAAAGATAAAATAAATCAATAATTAGAAATGAGTTACTAAAACTATTATGTTTAGGAATGTGTTTAAAAAATCTTATTAACACTTTGTTTTGATGGTCCATTTGAGTATTAGTAGACTGTATCCCTATCTGTTGACAATGCTCCTTCAACAGATATTTAACTGACTATAAGAAACTTTGCAAGTACATGGCATCTTACAGGTAACCCTAACCCAAACCCCAACCTAACAGTCTACTTATAATCCAATGGGAGTTAGTTGGCATGTAGATTCAATTTAACTTAAATTTAACAAACGGACCATCAAAATAAAGTGTGATCAAAATCTTCTCTCTGTTAAACAGAAATTAGGGGGGAAAAATAAACAGGCGGGCTAATAATTTAGGGGGGCTAATAATTCTGACTTCAACTGTATATTATAGTAAATACTGTGAAAAATGATTTGCTCTGGTAAACATAATTTGGGAAATATTTTTAAAAAATCACAAGAGGGCTAATAATGTTGACTGTACGTCAAATTTTAACTGTATGTATCTATATTTGAACAAATTTTCTGCTGTAGTTAGTTTGCTCAGTAGCTCACTTCGTTCGGTTTTGTTCTTGTAATGCAGAGCGCTTGAGCTCGAGTCTGGTAAATTCACCACAAAAGAGATAAAAGCAATGTAAGATCAAGGTAAAACTATGTGGTCACGGTGCACTTTTCTCTTCTGTTTGCTTTTGAAAACATTGTTGGTTGGGTTTTGTGAAGGATTTTTGTCAGTAGTTTGCAGGATAATCTGACAAGCAACGCCACCTCATGGAGGTGTACAAGGAGGATGTGTATCCAAAAAGTACAACAAAAAACTCTAAATAATCTATTTGAGATTTGTAATGGAAAGAGTGGCAGTGCGTGATGTAAGAAAAAAAAAAACATTTTAAACAGTACCTGAAGTAATAGTACAACATTCTCTGGCTGCATTGGTGTAGAGTTGAAGAGACATCATTTGCATTCCCAACACAAAGAGAAAGAAAGAGAGATTAGAACATGATTCCATTCAATCTATTATATATTACAGAAGTAGAAAATAAATTTCACTTCCACTGTCCTACATTATATCAAGTGGCCCTCACAACTCAGTACTTACACCAAAAAATAAGTACAATGTACTTATTGTATTCATATTGTATTGCACAGCACTTATGGTGCTCTTGGGTTATAGGTAGGGCCAGACAAAATCTGCAAACATTTTTTTCTATTTCTGCACAGAATTTTAATAAAAATAAAATTAAAAATCTGTGGATTTATGTGGAATGATTTTTGGGAGTATCGTAACTAAAAATGTAATATTTTAAATTAAAAAACAATACGTTTTTAACATTTATTTAATTTTTACAAAGCAAACCCAATTTGATCCACTTAATTGGTAAGTAAAGCAAGTATTTCATATAATAGAGCTAATAAAATACAGAAAATATTACTCAATAACATTAGTCAATAATTTTACTAAAAATAATTTTACTATAAAATGAATAAATATAAATTTATACACATTTACACAAGTAAATAAATAGACTCAATGATGGGCTAAAAAGCTACTGAAATCTGCAGATTTTTGCGTGTGCAGATATTGTGTGGCTTAGATATAGGTAAGGTTTTGGGATATGGGTAGGTATGGGTATGGGTAGGTTCTGTACATTGTAGCAAATGAATAATTTAAATGTAAGTACATAGTAATTAAGGCCACTAAATATAAAGTGGAACCAGTTACACAACAAAAACGAAACAAAATATATTAATCAAGTGAACTTTAAGATGAAATCCATAACTTAATTCTAAAGATCAAAAAAACAAAAAACAAATTCATTAAAGTCTGTAATCAGATTGTTCAAGTTTAAAGTTTGAGCAACTCATCAATTTGTACCAGTACAGTTATGCAGTGCTTACAAACTGCTCTTTTGATTCTCAATGCATCTCCATTTTGATTAAATTACACACAGTGTGACCATTATAAGCACATAAATCCTAAGCACACACCTTTTTGTAATCATCTCCTTTAATTCCTCCCATGTTCTGCTGCACCATTTTAACAATGAGATCTGTAACAACAAATTGACCAGATTACTTCATAAATCCAACAAAATAAAATGTTTGATAACTACAACCTGGAAACTAAAGAATGCTTCACGAAATATATTGATGTGATTGATTGGATTGTATAAAAAGGATGAAACACTTCTATTATCCCTGAACATATTAATTTCTCAAGTGTGACATTTCTATAAAATAAATTAAATATTAAACGTTTTAATTGTTAAAATGTTGGAACCATGTTTGTTTGTTAGTTTTTGAGAGAGAAAGTAAGAGAGTAATGGTGTTTTATAATAATCTTATTTTTGAAGAAATGTTTTACTGTATTGCTCTGAGAACAAAATGGTTAGGTTATTCTTAAATGGTCTGTTGCAAACAGTCTAACCTGTTTTTAGGCAAAGGGATTTTCATACAAGGGTTATTATACATGTGCTATTTGATTTAAACAGTGGTTACAGATACAGTGCCAAGCACTGGTGTTCAGAGACAGCTGATTATGCTGGTAATGTTAAAAGCAAACCTGAATAAAGCACTGCAGGTGTCTGTTAAGCACTAAATAGCGTGGTGGCTATGGCATCAGTGTCATGTTGTTCATACTAATTCTATTGCTACAGTACAAAACCATCTGTTACAAACCATCTGCTTAACCTACATTTCTGTATATGAATGATATTTATCTCCATGTTTAGGTCATACACCACTTAATAGCATAATAATCTCCTACACACTTTGAATCCACAAATATATTAAACGTCAGTGATGTTTAATCCAAGAAACAAAACCTTTGGCTAAAATTATTAGAAGGGAAAATAAACAAAGCTAGAAATGGGCATAATGATTAGATTAATTTACCGTAACGTATATATAACATGCTCAAATTAATTCTGACCACCTTTTTATGATTTAGTTCACATATTTAGTTTTGTCTAAACTTAAAACTGGTTGAAAAGATTGAAGAGACTTAACCTAATACCTGATGACAAAGGTCTCACCCATCACATTTTACCTCACGTGAACTAAACTTAGCCTTAATGCATTTATATACCTCACTTCTTTCAGGTAAGTACTGTATCCCTAACGACAATAGTGAAGAACCAACACAACACAAAAATAAATGAATACATTAATGAATGAAAGAATGAATGAATGAATTAATACATAAATAAATACAAAATTAATAACAGCTCTAACAAGTTTTTAATTATTATTAAATATCTTTTTAATGACATTTTTTCATTATAAATATAAATCTTTTGATATACATAGAAAGTATAGTCTTCATGAAAATGGTTCTGAAAGGTTTAGAGTTTATTAAGCATCACGACCTGTACATTGACATTAACATGGTATGTCTATAGTGAGTAATATATGATATATATTCTAATCATCCTCCAGCACTTTCCTTCAGCTTATTTCCTGCTTTATTAGGCGCTCGCAGCAGAATGAACCATCAATTGCTCTGGCAATTGTTTTACACAGCACATGCCCTTTCAGGTCACAACTCAAAACAGTGTGTAAACACCTACACACTCTCACATTAACACATGATGGCCTCTTTAGTTCATCTAATTCATCTATTTCGCATATCTTTGGATTTTGCGAGAAAACTAGAACAACCAGAAGAAACCCATGCAGATGTAGAACATGCAAACACCACACAGAAAGGCCACCTGGTCAAACTAGGACTCAAACCATCAACTTTCTTGCTGTGAAGCAGCCATGCCAACTATTTAGCCACCATGCTGCCTAATTGTCTTTATTGAATGTAAAATATATATAACACATAAATATAAACACAGCCTACACTGATCTAATGTTATTTTAAGATTCATAATGCCATTAGGTACATGAGCAGCATATATATTTTGAGTAAATTGAAATGTGTCCTTTATGAAACATCTCCTCTCCCAGTGGCAGACGTGAACTGTGCACGGCTATGCTCACTCGCGGACATAAACAAACACTTAACCCTAAAACACCTTTGCATAAAAGGATTAGCTTCTTTGCTGTTGTACTATATTTAGCAGGTATTTTTTTCTGGCCTGACACCTTGCAGGGAGATCACCAGAACATGATCCAAAATATAATGGCATGGCCAAGATTGCGCTTAACAGCATTAACTACACAGCACTGCATTTCTACTGATCACAGATGCCCTGTCTAATTACTATGACACTATTAAAAGCCCAAAATCATGCCTCTCTTTAGTGAAAACACCTGCATTTTAAAAGTAACTAATCCAAAATTATGTTTTCATACAGTAATACTATAAAAGAAGCGTTCTTTGTTCCTCAGAAAACATTTTCTTTCCTGATTTAAAGAACAGTTTGATCATCTGAAGTATGTTCTTTCACAAAAAAAATAAAAATTGCTGTTTATGGAACCATCACTGAAATTAAAGGAAACTTACTTTTTAAGAGTGCAGTACTTCCCTAGTTCTATAGGTAGCAAAATAAAAAAAACATACACTTTGTAATATATACTATACATGAATAGGTTTATACACTCGCCGACCACTTAATTAGGTACCCACTTTTGACCTTCAGAACTGCCTTAATCCTTCGTGGCGTAGATTCAATAAGGTACTGGAAATATTCCTCAAAAATGTTGTTCCATACATGACATGATAGCATCACGCAGTTGCTGCACATCTATGATGCAATTCTCCCATTCCACCACATCAATGAGGTGATCTCTTAGATTGAGTCTAGTGACTGTGAAGGCCATTTGAGTACAGTGAACTCATTGTCATGTTTAAGAAACCAGTCTGAGATGATTCACGCTTTATGATATGGCACGTTATCCTGCTGGGAGTAGCCATCAGAAGATGGGTACACTGTGGTCATAAAGTGATGGACATGGTCAGCAACAATCTCAGGCAGGCTGTGGTGTTGACACGATGCTCAATTGGTACTGATGAGCCAAGAAAATATCCCCCACACCATTACACCACCAACACCAGCCTGAACCATTGATACAAGGCTTTAATGTTGTTGACACCAAATTCTGACCCTACTATTTAGAAATCGAGACTCATCAGACCAGGCAACGTTTTTCCAATCTTCTGTTGTCCAGTTTTGTGAGCCTGTGCGAATTTTAGCCTCAGTTTTCTGTTCTTAGCTGACAGGAGTGGCAACTGGTGCGGTCTTCTGTTGCTGTAGCCCATTCACCTCAAGGATGGACGTGATGTGTGTTCAGAGATGCTCTACCTCAGTTGTAATGAGTGGTTATTTGAGTTACTATTGCCTTTCTATCAGATTGAACCAGTCTGGCCATTCTCCTCTGACCTCTGACATCAACAAAGCATTTGCACCCACAGAATTGCGACTCACTGGATATTTTCTCTTTTTTGGACCATTCTCTGTAAACACTAGAGATGGTTGTGCATGAAAATCCCAGTAGATCAGCAGTTTCTGAAATACTTAGACCAGACATTTTGGCACCAACAACCATGCCACGTCACTTTAATCACCATTCTGATGTTCGGTTTGAACTGCAGCAGATAGTCTTGACCATGTCTACATGCCTAAAAACAGTTAGTTGCTGCCATGTGATTGGCTGATTATAAATTTGCCTTAAATGAGCAGTTCGACAGGTGTACCTAATAAAGTGGCCGGTGAGTGTATATTATCAAAGACTCTAGAATACACAAGACTTGTCACTCGTATCTTTTTGAATAGGGTGTAACGGTCAGCATAGTGAATAAAGCCCCGCCTACTAGCACAGGAGATAATCATTGATCGATATATGGCGAATAAAGCCTGCCTTCTAGTACAGGAGCCAATCATCGATCGCTATAGGCCAACGATACTCTAGGGGAGGGGCTTGGACCAGACGTGAGTTTCTGCAGATTTTGTGGAATTTGGATGTTTAGAAATGAAACTAAAGACACAGCTGTTGTTTAATTATATTGATGATTCCTAATATGAAATTTAATCGTAAGCTTGGCAAGCAATTTTCAAGAAATTGATGTATCCCCATCCAAACAGAATACCCGAGCATACTGCCATAAACTAATGGAACGTTACAGTAAATTGTGACCATTATGTTCAGACTAAAAAGATGTAATTTGGAAGAAAATGTATTTATTTATTTTAAAAGAATTCGTTTTAACAGTAAAAGTAACAGTAAATATATTTAAACAAGGTTATGTAATACACATTTACATTTATGTTTCATTCATTCATTCATTTTCTTTTCGGCTTAGTTCCTCTATTAATCAGGGGTCGCCACAGCAGAATGAATCGCCAACTTGTTCAGCATATGTTTTTATGCAGCGGATGCTTTTCCAGCTGCAACCCATCACTGGGAAACATCCACACCCACTTTTTCACACACATACACTACGGACAATTTAGCTTTCCCAATTCACCTGTACCGCATGTCTTTGGACTTGTGGGGGAAACCGGAGCACCCAGAGGAAACCCACGTGAACACGGTGAGAACATACAAACTACACACAGAAACGGCAACTGACCCAGCCAAGGCTCGAACCAGCGACCTTCTTGCTGTGAGGCGATCGTGCTAATTTAAAAAAAATAATAATATATATATATATATATATATATATATATATTTATTTTTATTTTATTTTTATTTTTTATTTATTTATATATTAAAAAAGTATTATTAAAAATAAGGAAATGCTACCCTTTTGAACATTTGATTATAAAAACTGTTAAGGCATCTACAAATAGCATTAGCAAATAGCAAATCAGTTTAGCAGAATTATTTTTGAAGTATTCTACATAATTATTTTTATAACTATTCTGATATTAGCAGAAATAATTATTTTTAAGTTACAAAAACATTGTTTCTAAATACAATAACATGAACCTTGTGTGAAGCTGCTTTGGAACAATAATTATTGTAAAAAAAATCGAAATTGAATTAAATTAAAGAAAAAAAAAAAATATATATATATATAGATTAGTATATATAGATTAGTGTGTGTGTGTGTATATATATATATATATATATATATATATATATATTAATCTATAGGATATATGCTTAAGAATAATAGGACTTTGAATTTGCCAGTAACCTGGGTTAAGCGCTTTTAAGGTCAGTTTTCTTTAAAAATCAGCGATCTCCACTGGCTGAGTGATATCCGATATAAAGTTGGTCTCAGATTGTACAAGAAGCGCTGCATTAAATTGCATTTTCCCCACCATGTCTTTATAAAATGAGTATTTATTTTACCCATATTATATTCAATGGAGCTTCTGCGCTAGCCTGCCGATTCTGATGGGCGCGTGCGAGTAAAATGCTTTTTGTCTCATTTTTTGCTTGAGCAACTAAACGAATGCCAGAAGTTTATTTAACTGAATGCATTTTAATAACATTACAACATCGATGCTGTAAAAGGAACCATATAAAATGGAAAAAATTCACAATTACAGGTCACCTAAAGTTTATCAGTATGGAAAAAACACTAGCTCGGCATATACCCTATTAAAGCAGTTAATGGACATGGCTCGTGTTCTCAATTCAAAATACTTAATAATCACACTTAATGGGATCCTTTTACAATCATAATCTTGAAATAGGATTTCTGTGAGGGTGGGTTTGGACTAAACACAATAAGTGTCTTTTACTGTGTAAAAGAACTTATGCCTATGGAGAGTCTTTATAAACCACCAATACAGTGTTTGTGTGTGTGTGTGTGTAGAGAGAGAAAAAGAGCGAGAGAAAGAGAGAGAGAGAGGATGGGTGAATAAGAAAGGGTATCACTGGTTATAAAGGCATATGGTTAATCCTCTTACAGTGGTCTTGCTGTTGGGCAGTTAAGTGGTCTCTCTGCCTCTCTAATGCTTTCTTTCCCCTTTTCCTCCCTTCTTCAACCAAACCCCATTTCTCTCTTATTTAATCCCCGGCCCCCCTTTCACGCACTCTCGCCTTCTTTCCTCTTTTCTCAAAGATACAGCAAAGTACTCAAACACAATGAACTGTTGAAGCACATATAGGGGGTATTTATGTCTAGAGCTGTGACTTTCATGATATTAAATAACACGATGACATACAGAGATAAACATTAAGTAAAGCACCGACTAACAGAACGGAAAGCACTCCACATACCCACACAGACAATGGCAGCATAAGTGGGTCATATTTGTGTGTTGACCTCCCTGTCTTTCAATTACAGCGCAGTTTTAAATCCAGTGATCAGCGATATTAAGCTTTATCTGGGCTGAGACGGAGGGAGTCCCGGGATTAAGCTCCATACCCAAACTATGTATATTCACGTCCCTCGCTTTTCCTTCATCTGTCCATTCTCAGACAGAGCGAATGTGGTTAGATTAAGCTGCATTATATCCATCATGCATAAATCCATCTATTCCTTCACAGACAACATGCTGGAACCTGTGAGTTGTGACTAATCTGTAAAATGAGACTGGAGGAATGGAGAACTATAATGGCCTTTAACTTGACCCGTGTGTATGTGCATCCGTGTGGAAGCTCAATGTAACTTGCTGTTTAATCCAGTAATCCAGCCTCAACTCAACATCAGAAGTACCTGTCTATAAGATCAGGAGTTATGAATCTGCAAAGAATGCTTTAGCGAAAATAAAGGGATTGCAGAGGGAATAATATCTGTATTGTTTAATCTACTTCTGCCTCTTAATCCACACCCACATGTTTACAGGTAAAAAATAGCATCTCATTGATTATAATGCGCTGTTTTTCTTTTAACATCTGTGGTTTCCAATTGGAATATTTACCTAATTGTTGTATTTGGGTTGCATGAGTGTACGTTTTGTCAGGAAGAGGCATTTACATTGAATGTACCTTTGGGAGCATATGGTCCTCAGATTATCAGCTTACCTGATTGGGCAGGTGACTCATGGAGCAGATCGGCTAATTGGTTAGGCAGCAGGGATTTATCTGTGCAATCCTATTCTACTCTAAACACACTTACACAGACACACATTTACACACACACACACACACAAGCTCTTGTCTATGCTCAACATGCTGACCTCACAAAGAAAACCACCTGCCAACAACCTGACCTTAAACAGACCTGGGCTAGTTGTCACAGTTTTACTCAAATTGATATTGATGAGGTTTATTAATGATAAAGTTTCATTTACATATCCGTTATAAAGCAGGGGTGTCCTGTCCTGCTTCCCAGAGGGGCAGCCACCAACAGATTTTAGCTCCAACACATTTGTCTGGAAGTTTCTAGAACTGATTAATGATGAAGTTGTGTAAAACAGATTAAGATGAGGTTTTGACACTCCTGCAATACAACGAACATTCCCACCACCCAATAAGCAATCAGACTCTCTGTATTACTATAAACATTTATATAATATAACTAGAATGGTAAATACAGTTTACAAAAATGTTCCAAACCACCATATCCATTAATTTGTTAAACCAACATATTGATTAATTGAAAGTAAAACGAAGATGATAATTTATAAATGGATCTCTAGGCATAACAGTATGCATAACACACTGTTTTCATTATGATTTTTAAATGTAACTATGGACCACAAAACCAGTCAAAAGTGTCTTTTTATTTGTTTATATATTTTTCATTTATTAGGACATTTTATTTGTTAGGCAAATATTTGCTATTTAAAAAAAACTATTTAAAAATCTGTAATCTGTAAATTAAATAAAATCTAAATACTGAAAAAAAAACTATTTTTAAGTTGTCTGAATAAAGTGTAAAAATTAAGTTTTAATAGATTTACAGTAGGACCTTTACAAAATATTTTTATGGAACATGATCTTTAGTTGATATCCAAATGATTCTTGGCATAAAAGAAAAATCAATATGCATAAGGCCATGTAATTTAAGATTTTGTGGTCCATGCATGGTCACATATGGCAAGCTGTTTTAACATCTTTTCCTTAAATTGAATTTGTTTCATATTTATGCAAGTAGTGTTGTTTATCACAAAACAAGTGTTTGTCTAAATAAGGCAATTGCATCTCACAGTTATTGCATTCTGCATGCTGTTCTTCATGCAGATTACTCATTGTCCACAGGGTCTTAGAATTATTAAAAGTTGATAAATCAATGTAGAGAAATTTAAAACCCTTAATAAGTAATAAAAAGTCTTAAATGGTATTTTGCAAGGAAATAAATTGTATATGGTGACGCGGTGACGCAGTAGGTAGTGCTGTCACCTCACAGCTAGAAGGTCGCTGGTTGGAGCCTCGGCTAGGTCAGTTGCATTCCTGAAGACATGTACTGTAGGTGAATTGGAACACCTAAATTGACCATAGTGTATGTGTGTGAATGAGAGTGTGTGAGTGTTTCCCAGTGATGGGTTGCGGCTGAAAGGGCATCCGCTGCATAAAACATGTGCTGGAAAAGTTGGCGTTTCATTCCGCTGTGGTGACACGAGATTAATAAAGGGACTAAGCCGAAAAGAAAATGAATGAATGAATGAATACATTTTATACAATTTTTGATTATGCAATGTATAGTTGTATGCTTAAGTTTGCCTGAATTGCATCTGCAAACATCAGGATGCTGTAGTTTATGAAATCAATCAAATCCTGCTAGATTTGACATCATGCTGCTTTGTTTACTGCAGTAACCAAGGCAACACCATTATTTCTGCAGTTCTATAGTTGCCAACCTGCTGAATTAGCTAGATTTAATAGATTTTTATTCAGTATATATAATAGTGTGTTAGTTTTGAATTAGTTTCTTACATTAATGTTTAGTAAATATATCAATATGTTAAATCTCGCCAGTTTTCCTGTTGAAACCTAAAGTAGTTTTAAGGTCTTAAAATAGATCGAAAGAATCTTAAAAAAAGGTATTAAATTTTACTCTCTGATTCCTGTATATGCTCTGATACTGTAATTTTCTTAACTGCAACTGACTTTACATTGAAAGTCAGATTACAAATAGTTATCTTTAAAGACCCAACATTCTCATCCATTCAAGAAGAGTGTGCTATATGCCGAGAACTGTTTTGTCCCTGTATAATCATTATCATGAAGTTAAGATGCTGTTTCTTGAACAAGAGCATAAGGTGCAGCTAAAAAGGACAAAATAAACAATCTTTGTTTTCATGATCGAGGGACAGTGTCATTGCTAATTTCTCCAGTACTTCTGCCAACTCATCCTCAGATACCTACTAATACTTATTGCGGAGCAATCTAATCAATTAGTCAACAGCTGTTTCCATTTAAAGTTGAAGACAGGATATAAATAATATGCGGTAAAACACTGTTTCCATCCAAAACTGTCCTTTTCTTGAAAGCTGAGACAAAGTTTTAATAATAATAAAAGCTGGACCAAATTTTATTTTATGAAAATTTTGCTTATTTTATCCACATCTTCCTGTTTCCATCCCAAGTTTTTACAGGTTATCCCACAATGTGGTAAAAATATATGGTTGAAAAACTGATGTGAACAATTTGAGCTTGTTAGTCATATTTACACAATTAATTATTCATTTGAATCATTATTAGTAGCACAGAAATAAATATTACTGACAAACCTATTAGGCATTACTGGAGAAAAAGGTACTAGTTATTGATAGATTACTAGAAAATAATGTATTAGCTATACGATTTAACACTGTATTACTGATTCCTTGTTTTATGTTATACTTATAATAGTAAATTATGCATAATGACAAGCAACAAACCCTAAAGCAAATCCTAAACTCAACCCATGTTATATATCTATTAGAGCAAATTGTGCCCCAACATGTTTAAATGTAGATATGTTGTTAATTCAGATTTCCTCATACAATCCTAAATATCCTAAATAACTAAAAATGTGTACCCAACAATACTAGTTGAACGAAATGAATGTGAAAATGGCTTGCCATAATATAAATCTCCAAACCTATTCTCAAAGATGGATAAACAGTCTTCCATGTGATATTGACTTAAATATGTATATGTCTGTAGTCTATGATTCTGCAAGCATATGTGATTTTTTGTCAGACCGTAAACATGTGGGAAACTTTTTGCGCGCTCCCAAAGCCAGTGTGCATCTCACCTTTGGGGAAGGGGTTTGGCTGAACCACGTAAAGAAACGCGTGGACCATGTGGAAAAGAATCCCCATGGGACCTGGTTCATAATACGCGTGTGTCTCGTACACCACCGACGGCACAAAGCCAAAGTCCAGCGTTTCCACGGGCGCTCGGAGCATCGCTGTGCGCGGCGGGGACTCCCGGTGCTCCTCGCGGTCTTCGCTGCTTGTGAGACCCCAAAACATCACCAGCACGAGTCCCACTTTCCACCACATGTCCATCAGTCTCTGCCGGAGGATTTTGATAGGGAAAAAAGGGGAGGACGGATTAGGTGTGAGAAAAGTATATTTGTTTGGGTCGCTCTCTAGTCCTCGACATGAAAAATTAAAAATGACACAAAATTAATCCGGGACACATAATAATAAAAGATAGAAAACAAACAAAAGTAAAAAGGTATTCCAAGTGATTCGTTTATTCCCCGTATCCTTCTGACGGCATCATGGTAAACATCTTTCTCTTCGGTCTGCGCCGCTCAGGATGAGCTGAGTGTTTGTGTGACCTGCGCCTCCCGCTGCGCGCTCCTCTTCTGTCCGCCGGCACGCGGAGGCTCTGTGCACGCGCACTCGAGGTGGCTTTTCGAGGGAATTCACGTCTAGTTGAGTCAAGCCAAAATTAAAATAGTTTTATATAACCGTTGCCTAGAAGGAGTTATAAAATAATAATAATAATAATAATAATAATAATAAATGATAAAGAATAATGACACTTTGAAAACTTTTATTAATAAATTAATTAATGAAAGAAATAATTTAAAATAAGTAACCTAACATTTTATCGTGACAACAATACAAAAATCTGTATAATAAAAATAATAGAATTTAAGTATTTGTCAAAATAATTGTGCAATACCTAATACAAACATGTGATTAAAGAATATTCAAATGCCTAAATTATCCAAAAAAAATGTGGTTTAAAAAAAAACAGAGATTATAAAAGAAATTTAAATATTTAATTAAAATAAGTATTAAATGTGTTAATGAAAGGTATGGATTGTATTTTGGACGATATTGTACTACGATGATATTATCCATATGCATGCCTCATCTCAGAGTCTGCATTCAATGGATACAGTTTACCATGGTGCACTAAGATTTATAACTAAATCCCTTACTCATCATTGTGTTGTATACTACAATATACTATGGTCTGCTTTGTCCATACATAGGCTTAAGCATTGGCATGTCTTTGTTTACAAATCAATATTGGGTATACTCCCGTCATATCTTCAGAATTAAATTTGTAAAAACCTGTCCTTACAGGATATTTATTTACTGTCTGTTCCTAAAGTGCAGACTGAGATAGGAAAAAGGCTTTTAAATATGCAGCACCTTTTGCATGGAATAATCTACAAATAAAAAATGCAGTTTAAAGAATTGATTTCACTGCTTTTAAAAAGAGTATAAATGATTTAGAAATTGAAACACAGGCTTGTAGATGTTTTGAATAGTTTGTTTGTCAATGTGTGATTCATGTTAACTGTAATTGTTTTTGTTTGTTGTCTGTAAGACCCATGTGACATGTATACTGCCTAGTCCTGGCCAGGATTCTCTTGTAAAAGAAATTTTTAATCTCAATGTGTCTGTCCTGGTAAAATAAAGGTTATGATAATAATAATCCCTTTTAATATTATTATCAAATACTTTTAAAGTGTTGTAAAGAGCATCACAAAATATTAAACTGATTACACATTGTAGGTTAATAATTTCATATGTTTTTGGATTAACATGTCCATCGATGTATACAACTGATGTAAACTGTGTTTAATTTTATACTATATATTCAGAGATATTGCATAAATATACTGTAAATGAGTTGTAAATATGACAGACCTTTGGAGTGTTTATTTTAAATAAACAATTTCAGTTTACTTCAAAATTTGAAATTTAAATCAAAGCATTTTCTTTGTAATTTGTTTTGTAACATTTATAGTGCAACAATGATTCAAAGTAAATATTTTTTTCATCATGTATAATTTATTATATATTTCTTGACTTTTCTCAATGTTTCAGTAATGAAAAGTCAAAGAATGCTGTTAACTCTCAGGACAAGTTAGTTTGCAACTACACGGTAAAAGAAAATCTTGCTTGCCTTACATTTTTAAGCTGAATCAAATTAACCTTATGAGTTCATTGAACATACATTATGTTAAACTGACTTAAAACAGCTTGCATAACTTATGAAATTAAGTTAGAACACGATTAACTTAGTTTAGTCAGTTACAATGACAGAAACATGTGCCTAATTGATCATATAATTTGTTACAGTGTACATTTCAGAGCAGTGAAAACTTACACCACTAATGCTTGTTCGTACCATTACATGTGAACAGTCAGAAAGTCAAATGAGCAGAAAGCAGTAAGTCTGGATTCTGCCAAGACACAAGCTGATGGTCTTTTTTAAAATCTGCTGAAAAGCCTCTGTTTCTCCGTGTGTGTGTGGACAGAATACCAACACACAGAAACAGAGAGGGAAAGAAAGAGAGGCCTCTATTTGTAGACATTATTTGTAGACACACACACACACACACACGCGCACACACACACACACACACACACACACACACACACACACACACACACACACACACACACACACACACACACACACACACACACACACACACACACACACACACACACACACACACTCACACACACACACACACACACACGAACAAACACACACAAACACACACAAACACACACAAACACACACATGCACACACATTGAATTTCTTTTTATATATTTAAGGTGACGCAGCGGCGCATAGCTGTCGCCTCACAGCAAAAAGGTTGCTGGTTTGAGCCTCGGCTGGGTCAGTTGGCATTTCTGTGTGGAGTTTGCATGTTCAGTTGATCACCCAGTTGAATTGGATAGGCTAAATTGTCCGTAGTGTATGAGTGAATGTGTGTGTTTCTCAATGATGGGTTGCGGCTGGAAGGGCATTCGCTGCGTAGAAACTTGCTGCAAAAGTTAGCGGTTCATTCCCCTGTGGCGACCCTGGATTAATAAAGGGACTAAGCCGAGTAGAAAATGAATGAATGAATATATTTAAACAATTCTTATCTATTGCAATAAATAGATATCTGAATCTCTTTATGAGATTAAATATAGTATATATATATATAACAAAAATGATCCAGTCAAAAGGAAGTTCCACTTTATCCCACAATAGTAAATAAATTCATACTGACTTCAACTAAACATGTTTTTTTCATTAAATAGTAATAAAAATTTGGTTAATATTTTAATTAAAATATTTTTTATTGTTTCAGGATCAAAATCAGAAAGAGGAATAATGTTAAGAAGACATTACGTTTTTTTACAATTGTTTTGCCACAAATTTCAGAACTCTGGTGTCAGTTTTTAAAACTCTAGACAAAACATTCACAACCAATGCTGAAATTGTAGGTTTTTGCTAAACTCTTAACTCTTTTTGTCAAATGTTTGGATACAATAAACACAAGTCAAAGATATTTTGTTTATTGAACTAAGATCCCCTATTCAATATAAAACAATTAAACATCAAATTGATCCCATTTCAAAATGCAACTCAAACATTACATTTGAAATAAATGCGTATTCATTTACTTAACACAATGTTATTATCAACTGATACAAGCACTCAAAATGACAAATAACTGGAGCATTTCTCTTGATGAGTAGAAACTGATGTACAATATTACATGTTTAGATGATGAAAGTTTAAGGATAATTATGGAAGATGACCCAACTGGACTACATTATCTATAGCAGTGGTTCTCAAACTGTGGTACGTGTACCACTAGTGGTACATAGGCTTCCTTCTAGTGGTACAAGGAGGAATGAAATATGTCATGTACATGCTACACACATTTAAAAATTTATCAAAAATGATGTATATAATATGCTGTTTATGACATATAGCCTATATTTCTGAGGTAATCAGCCACGTTTTTTTAACTGTGCAGAGTTGTAGCTGCTTTACTGGGCCTACTATGGTACTGTATTTCAATACTGCTAATTTTTGGTGGTACTTGAAGAGACAATTTTTTTCTGAGGTGGTACTTGGTAAAAAAAAGTTTGAGAACCACTGATCTATAGATTTCATCTTTATTCATCCTTATTACATATTTATGGTTTCTTTGTTCCATCCATGTACCACTTTTACAGACAATGTTTTCATATTTGACATTACTGTACTGTATGTAAGAAAGCCCAATCACAGCAGACCAGTGTCAGGCCTGGATTTACATTGACAGAAGGTTCTTCCCAAGATTTTTGAGTAATGAAAACACCACTGTGATGTAAAGGAGAACCTGTGATCAAATCTACAAGACCAGACTAATAGATACTGTAGCGAGTCTACTGATGCCACGTCGCCCTGGTCACAAATTCATACCCAGCTGGAAACTCATCAGCACCGGATTGCTCACAGCTGGACCTCATCAGCCAGGGAGAGATAAAAGCCAGCCCCACACAGGAGGAAAGCGAGCTTCATTTCCACATGACTCCCTGCGCTAACGCCTGTCTCTCTCTGTCTCTCCCACAGCCGAATCCAGCTCGTGACCGATCCAACACCAGAACTCTCACCAGCCTTCACCATCTCCCCGGAGCACTTGAGCACGCACCCCAAGAAGAGCACTCATTCACTCATATCACTTGTAAATAAAGAACCCTCCGAGGCATTGTTTGTAACTTTACTCAACTGTGTTTGTGTTTTCCCTCTGCCTCGCTACAATACACAAAATCCCAAAATAGAAAACTGATACATAGAAACGTAAGCAAATTATATGTGACATAAGTTCATATGAATTGTGTGTAAATATATTATCTATTATGTTATATATTCTACCCCTAAAAATATATAACCTATAATTTGTATATGCGTACATATGGCTGCGCGCGTGCTCACGTTCACGCACACACATTTATATATATATATATATATATATATATATATATATATATATATATATATATATATATATGTATATATAAGTATGTGTGTGTGTGTGTGTGTTTGAACGTGAGCTTTTTGCGTAGATTTTTGCATTATTTTGACATATTATTGACTAGTATGACATTTTATATACAGTATGTGGAATCCAGTTGTAATTTGCATATGATGCCATATTTCATGCCATACATCAGCTTTCTATTTGGAGATGTGCAGTGAGAAAACAATGACAGTAAACCTACATTATGATAGAATGAATAAAACTAGTTCAGTGTATCCAGTGTCTGTACTGTTCCCTCTACACTTATGTATAAACCACAATGAAACCTGTATCATATATTTTAAACAACAATATTTAATGATTATTAGAGATTGTTTATTGAAACGATGTGCATCTTGTGTGCTGGTGATATAAAGTTGTGTTCCTGTAGTATTTGTATGATAAAAGGATTATGTAAATCAATGATCCTGCAAATGCAAGACTTCTTTAAAGAAATGAATGCAGCATGCAGAGTTTTGAACACTGGGGAGCTTGTGTTAAAAGTAGTGACTGTTTAGAGTTTTGTGTCTAGAGTTTTGAAAATTGACACC